CCCAGGATATAACCATCAAAACTATGAAAAATGTCATGAAAAAATATGAATTTTTATTAAAAATGTGCACATAAATACTCACCTTGCGCAGGGTCTCGTTTCACTTCTTGAGGCTTAACTGTGTTTTCAAACAAACCCTAAACCAAACATAAATGATATTAAAGGCATTTGATCAGCCACAGATTTCACAGATCCCTTACAGATTTTTTAATAATTTTACTGACCAAAAAAAAAACCAAAAAAAAAAACTGTAGTTGCTGAACGGTGGTGGTACAAATCACTTTCAAGCCAACATGTAAAACACCTGTTATTCTATTTCATGATGTATTTTATCACAAGTAAAAGACCAACCATGAGTTTCCGCTCCGCCTTCAATGACCGCACAACATATGGAAGGATCTTCTTTGGGTAAATGCTGCGTTTCCTGGTGGTCTGTACAATCTTCTCATCCAGCATGTCATCCAGTGCACCGAACTCACAATCTAAAGATCAAAGAAACCCCTTTAGGCATGCAGTATTATAGAGTTGATCAGATCAGGTGATGAACTTAATTAACGTACAAATGTACATCTGGTGAAAAGTACATTTACACTATGCCACTGTACCTTAACATAGTCTATAAGGCACACTAAGCTACTCTAATAAAGCTGTTATACAAAGAGCTGCTAGTATTGTTATTGTTATCACTACAGCTATCCCATGTCATAATAATAATGCTGTTATTAGAAGTTATGGATATCTGGCTTTGTCCAAACACAGTCCTCCCAAAAGCAGTGATGTTGGGCTTTAAAACCTCTTGATTTACATACCGTCCCCATCCTCTTCTGCTGCCTCCTCCCACGATAAACCATTAACAACGATGTTTTCTTGCACCACAAGTTCAAAATTCTGAAAGAGAAATAAGTGACAGTTGAACTATCAATTCATGTAAGGCAACTATTGCTACGGCAACTACTGCTGATACTTTTATATCAATATTTTATGGTAGACACTGAATGACAACAGATTTATCACCCATAAGTCTAAACGTAAGATATACCATTGACACTACTACTCCTGAATAATTAAGCAATAGAGCGACCTCGTACCGGCGACCAACTCACAGCCGTGATGTTATTGGCGATAACACACTCCTCGAGTGTTCTATTGCTTTTATACAACAGTTAAATAAATACAGTAATAAATTAATAAACTGGGTCGTGAACGCGGCGTTTAATATGTTTTAATGTTCGCAGTTCCTTCACCAAATTATAGTTCCTTAATGAGCAGCTTGTTGCTACGTCAGAGTAACGAGCTCCGCCCACTCGCTGCACAGTCTGCAGTTCGTTCTCCAGCTCCTTACACTAAATTCCCAAACTGTCATCACCACTGAGCAGCTTTTCAGTCGGCAGCTGTGACAGAAGAACAGCTGAACAACCTGGAATCAGCCAGAAATGAACCCAACACCATTCGCCAAACGTGGAGTCTGATCTTCAGAGTCTGACCAAATCAGACTGAGCTGTAAAACTGCTGCAATATCAAGTTCAGCTCAGTTTTTGCCAGATCAGTATTCATGTTGTTTTGTTCCAGCCAGTCTGTAAAGCATCTTACAGCCCATTTAGTTTGGCGAATGGCGTTGGGTTCATTTCTGGCTGATTCCAGGTTGTTCAGCTGTTCTTCTGTCTCAGCTGCCGACTGAAAAGCTGCTCAGTGGTGATGACAGTTTGGGAATTTAGTGTCGTCTCATCTTCAGAGTCTGACCAAATCGGCTGTCGGTCAAATGTGATCTTAAAAGTGTCCATTTTCTGTTTATGCGTAAGTATAATATAGCGAAGTAAAAACGTTCAAATGGCTTGAGCATCTCAGCGGAGTGATACAGTGTTTGTGAAAAACCTGTGATGTTATGCTGAAATAACAGCACAGTTAGAACACTGCTCAGCCAATCAGCTGGCGTGGCCGGAACTAACTGTTGTCTAACATGACTTAAGTGTACAGAGTAATATCCCTGTTACTGACGACCTTTTACCTTTCGCCATGGTCCCATTAGAGGCAGTGGGCTGGGTTACTTTGACTGAAGGACAATTAAACAGGCCACAATTATCACAATCGCCTGATTGCAATAATTTGAGATGATTACAATTATTTAAGCTGATCGCAATTACTTTAGCTTTTACAATCATATGACTCCTTTAAACAAGTAATGTTGGGTTATTTGAGCTTGAGCTGTGTCTGTTGTCAGTTTGGAGGTTTTATCCTGATATCAATTATCCTTTATTTATCCTTTATGAAATATCCCCCAGGGGTTCCAATGTCTTAAATTTTTCTATGTAATGATGGTAAATTATGGTAAATCTGGAAAAATATATTTTTCTTTGATGCACTGAATGTACCTCTCCACTAGGGCGGGGCAATCTGACAGCATCTCATTAGTGTGATGAATTATTTCACAATACAATATAATATGCTTTTCTGAGCATATCATGCAACATTAGTTTAGCGCAAAATTGTGCGAAATATTGAATAAAAATCATTGTTTTCAGTTTTTGACAGGATTATATTTTTGCCATACTGCCCACCTCTACTCTCCATCACGAATGGCTTTTTTAAAAACAAAAAACAACAACAACAACAACAACAACAACAACAAAATAAAATAAAAAAAAATTCAGGCCAAAATCTTTAAATTATATGGTTATATGTAATTTTGGTTACATTTAACCATATAATTTTTCAGAAATTATCAAAGCTGGTTAATCAGCCACTTCAGATTTGCATGTTAGCACAATTTCACTGTCTTTCAAATAAGGATAAATGAACTGTTAATTGCAATTATTTATATGCCAGTTAATCATCAGCTAAAATGACATGATTGTGGCAGGCCTACATAGAAAGAACTGTCAGTTTATCAATTTCCCTTAACTTTTAACTACACTTACTGGCGTTTTGATCTCTTGCAGCTATACAATTACTGACTGTAGATTTTCTATTACTATGCACAATTTATCAGGCATCGCCTACCAACCTTAACTGGAAAGGGACCACTGTAGGACCCCACTGTCCAGAAGAGCTGTCCAGAATCTGAAGAACCATTTCACTATGCAAATAACTATTTAAACATCAAATAGTTCTATAAAGAACTCCTCGTTCAAATTTATAACTATTGCCTTTACTAAGGACCCTGGAAGAATCATCTTTGTTTAAGAGTGTAAGTTAAATCAGTTTATGCACCCACACAGCGAATTCCTAATTCATGCCCCACAGTAAATGCCCGATAATAACAGTGGTGGACAGTAAGGAAGTAAATATAATTTGTTACTGTACTTAAGTAGTTCTTTCCTGTATCCGTACTTTACTGAAGTATTTCCATTTCAGTGACTTTGTACTTTCACTCCACTACATTTCAAAGTCAAATATCTCACTTTTTACTCCACTACATTATGAGAAATCTGTCGTTCCTTTTGGTTTATGTGTGTACAAAAACGTTACATGTCAAAATGAAAGAAGCGCAAAGCAAACACACCAATCAGGGCACAGCGGTCACTTTGTTTTGAGCTTGTTTTGACCTGTTGGTCATACCGACCCAGTGCAGCACACGGTTCAACATCAGTGCAGCGGCGTAAAATTTTGGGAGAGTCTATTCAACATAAATGATGAACTAACCTAACTTTGTGTAAATAGACCACAATATAGAAATATGTACTCATATGCAGTTGTGACTGACATCTGAATTCATACAAACACATTTCATTTTATAGTAAATTAGTTTTGGCTAGTTTATGTTTATGAACAGAGACCTACAGATGCAGTTTAGTAAAGGAAACTCAAAGTTTGTATTAAACTTAAACTTGTAACTAAGTTGCAAATAAATCTTAAACTGAAACTTTGCTTGTTTGTAAAAAGTGATTTCAGAGCCACTCAGTTCTACCTGATGGAAACTGTTTGCCTTCAGTGTTTTGTGCTTATGATCATTTTAATAGACATCAGCGTCACTAATTAATGACATTCTATTAAAAGACTGGTTTACCAAGAGAGACACTGGAGTATTTTCACCTAAACTGAGTTAATGAAGCGAGTCTTGTTACAAAAATGATAATAGGACATCTTTTAGTACTTTCTTACATTTGATACTTATGTACATCTAAAGGCAAATACTTCTGTACTTTTACTCAAGTGGAGGTCTAAAGGGAGGAACTTCTACTTTTACTGGAGTAATATTTTACCTCTCTACTTTAACTCAAGTACATGGTTTGTGTACTTCGTCCTCCACTGGATAACAACAGTAAACACAACAGCAACAGAAATACAGTACAAGTCCTACGATCAGAAACGTGTCTCGGTCATTCTGTACTGAATTATCGATATTAAATGTCTAAGTCATCTGATAAAAACTTAGTCTGTCTCACCGTCAGCATTTCCCGCGACAGTTTCTCCTTGTCGTCCTCGGAGAGTTGAGACTGACCATCGAGCAGCTTTTTAAGCAAACTCTTGTACCTCGTAAGCTGGTGAAGAACGATTTTCTTGGACTTCACATTCACCCTGTAATCGGATTCTCTCTCCGCGTCCGATGCCGCAGCTCTGTCCTCCATTTCTACCGCCAAGTCTTCAAAACGATGTGTTCCACCAAAATAAACCCTGAAGGAACAGCGCGGCGCTGCATAAAGCGTTCCGCACCGCCTGCTTTCCCCTCCTTCTTTACAGGGGCTGAATCCCATATCACTCCCTGCTCCCTACAAAGTGCACTGCATTAGTCGGGAAATTACGGCTTCTGCACCCAAATATCGCTCTAAATGTTTGATAGAGAGTCGTGCAGCTAAGCGCTTAACAGAAATGTCTTTCTTTTCGACCTACAAAGCACTATTTGGATGTAGAAGCCACCATTTCATGACCTACATAGTGCCCTACTTAGGGAGTACGGAGCCATTTGGGATTCAGCCTAAGTGTTAGCGCCGAGCCTGTAGCATGAAACGGTTTCTGGTAGTAAACAAACTCTGTCAAACTCTATAAATATGATGGCTTATATGGGAAACATAAAAGAGATAACCGAATGTTCTTGAAGCTGATTGGCTCGAATACTAATATGACCTATCGCGTGCCTTTATTTGCGTGGTTTTACTGGTCAAATGGATGGACGTCTGGTCGACAGCCACTGCCACATGTCAGCGGATGAGTTCGCTCAGGTAGCTGAGTGAGTGAAGACTTCACTGCCAGTTGAAGCCGAATGACAGAATGTCTGCGGATAACAGTGATCAGCTTTCAGTGCAGCAGATGCGGGTTTATATGAAACTACAGAAGGTTTTAACGTCTCTGCTGTTACTCAGTCTTACGGAGTCCCGCTGGTGACATCCTGTATAAATAAAAATAATGCGTGGCCACGACTTAGTAAGGCGTGGGAACGAGATCCTAATGCGTGGCCACGACTTAGTAAGCCGTGATCTCGTTCCCACGCCTTACTAAGTCGTGGCCACGCATTAGGACCTCGTTCCCATGCGTTAATAAGGCGTGGCCACGCATTATTTTTATTTATACAGGATGTCACCAGCGGGGCTCCGTACTTACAATTGTTAACACTACATAAAATCCTTTGCATGCAGAAAATGTCATTTATGCCCATATGTGCACATATATTGTGCTTTAATGTATCAGAGAACAATATTTTCACCTACTTTATAGCTTACAGTGTGCATGTTTTAGCGTTTAGTTTTGAATCTATTAAACTCATTTTCACAGCACTAGTAAGTATGTGGCGGAAACAAAGAACATGCATAAATAAAATATGATAAAATATGATATTATATGATATCAAACCATGAAGCTAGCATGTGTGAGTAATGTATGCCTTCTATGAGTAATGCTTTGTATCATATAAACATATAGTGTTCCAGATATAAGTTTGTATATGCTGATATATATATGGTTGAAATGTCTGAAATGTCCCATAATTGAAAATGGCCAATTTCAAATAAGTTGGCATATATATATATATATATATATATATGGGTTTAATTGTTTGTCATTTTTGGTTATATAAAATCTTTATATAACTAGTTTCTAATATCACTTGTTTCTAATAGTTTTACAAGCTTCTGAATTTCAGATATGTCATTTCGAATATACATGAAATTCTTTTTTCCAGATAATGTTGGACTTGTTCACAGTCCATCGCGTTTGTGTCTCTAAAAGCTACCAGTAACAGAAAACACAACACACAACAACATGACCACACATACGATGCCTAAAAAAAACATTACTTTAACATGACTTTACCATCATCACCATTACATCTAAAAACATCAGAGGACACTTATAGCTTCACTGATCAAATTTCACTTTGAAAATTCAGTGTAATTCCCTTTTAAAGCAGGGATGACCAGCCCGGCTCCTGGTTAATTAAGGCATCTGAATATTAGAGCCAGATGTGGATCTAATGGGTTGGAACGAGAATCAGGGTTGGGCCACATGATGAAAAATCATATTTATGCAGTGTTACACTAACTGTAATCATCAGCCAGGTGTTTGATGTTGGCACTGTGTCCTCAAGATTAGTGTAGCTAACAAATAATGGAAGCTTATACTCCAGCTATGCATCAAATATTTGTCCATTATAACATACTTGCCATAGATATCAGGAGATACATTAGCCAGATTGAGATTAATTTGAGATGCCGTTGTGTGGTGTTGGTGTGTTTGTTACTCAGTGGTCTGGTGGACCCACCGCATTATTGTTGTTCTAAATCAATACAGCCATAACAATTTATGTAAAAATACCAGATGTTTAAAATATCAAAAGTGTCCAGCGTAGAGTTCTCCTTTAGCTGCTGTAGCCAGTCAGCAGCCTGTCCATGTTGTCCACCCTCACACACACATATACAAACACATACACACACTAACAGCAGGCCATGTAGGAGGAGAACAGAGTGAAGGACACAGCACCTCCACACTTTTACTCCCCACCGGTTCAGCCCAACACCACATACATACATACATCATCTAAACTGCTTATCCTTCTGGGTCACGGTGGGGTGCTGGAGCCTATCCCAGCTGTCAATGGGCAGAAGGCAGGATACACCCTGGACAGGTCACCAGTCCATCGCAGGGCAGACAGACAGACAGACATACATATACAATCACACACACATTCACACCTAGGGGCAATTCAGCATGTCCAATCAGCCTGACTGCATGTCTTTGGACCGTGGGAGGAAACCGGAGTACCCGGAGGAAACCCACGCAGACACGGGGAGAACAGGCAAACTCCACACAGAAAGAACCGAATCGAACCCAGGCCCTTCTTGCTGTGAGGCGACAGCGCTACCCACTGCGCCACCGTGCCACCCCCCAACACCACATGTGTAATATAAATGTGTGGGGGGTGAACAGAGTGAAGGCACTGAAAATGGGTTATTTTAAATGTTCTTCACAAAAAGGGAGCAAAGGCCAAGAATCTAAGGTTGAAATAATAATAAATCCCATCATTTTTTCTTTTTGGTAAACATTTGAAAATGGGTCCCACAGACCTGAACACCACACAAGGGTTAATAAGTTGACACAAGGCGATTGTGTGTTGTGTAATGCGCTTTATTGTCTCGTTAGTTTGTTTTTAACAAATGACATGGACAAACTACATAAAATGAGGATGCTCAACAACTTAATCCTTCATTTTTATTTTGTTCCCCAGGACCTAAATGATGTTATTGAGAGAGCAAAACAGGTATGTTTTCATGACACAAATTAGTAGAGGTGGGCAACATAACAACATTTATTGTTATCGTGATACCCAGTGATCACAATATGCTTTTCTGAGTCTGATCTTTAATAATTTAAGAACTCTGAACAATTGCATTTTTAAGTTTTTTAAAAATAAATATGATTAGTTTAATTGGATTTAGCACAACTCAGAGTCTGAAACACTGAAAAAAATGTATATATTCATAGTTTTTGACTGTATTTTTGAAATGTGGCACAACTGATTCTTTTCTGTCTGTTATTAAACCTTAACAAAACAAAACATTGCTATGCTTGTTTAACTGAAACCCCCAAATGCTGCAACTCTCACTGATCAGGATCTAATGTCATTCTAAGGCTGGGGTTAAAGCTCTCATAGCAGTTACAGAAGGACCCAGTGAGTTTGAAAGAGTGATTCAGTTATCAAAGATGTAAGTATTTCACGGAGGTAATGCAATTTTTTATTTATTATTATTATTTATTTATCTATTTGTTTTTTAACAAATTCTTCCTCCATACGAGCTCAAATTAGAGGTGCACTATATGTTCAGTAGTTTCTGGGCACATGCTCATCTAGCATTTCTTCTGAAATCGAGGATATTAATAGAAAGTTTGTCCCTCTTTGCTGCTGTAACAGCCTCTACTCTTCTGAGAAAGCTTTACACTTGATGTTGGCACAGTACTGTGATGATTTGATTGCAATCAGCCACAGGAACATTAGTGAGGTCAGGTACTGATGTTGGATGGTCAGTTCTGGATCACTCCAGCCTTGTGTCTGGATACTTTTGGACATATAGTGTACTGACTGATTTCACATGTTCCTGGTTGGAAGGTCTTAAGTTTCATTGACACCACCTGTATGAACACATACAGCTGTTTTCATAACTGGTTTCTTTTGGATATCAGCCACCCGCGTCTCGTATTTCCATGTTTTGGAATTCACCCCCTTCAAGGTTCGGAGCAGGCCCTGCACAGCGTGAGGACTCAGGTTAGGGAAACTACTATTTTTATGGATGGACTGAATAACTGTGCTCTCTCTGATACCCCTCTGTTCTTTGTTTTCACAGGACTTGGAGCCGGCCCTTCCACTGTTCCAGACGTATAGAGATCATATAGTTGCTGTGGGTGAGGTACCGTATCATTTTTCTGAAATAATCTTAAACATGATCGGTTACTTTAAAATAATATTATTCAAACCATTTTCAGAGATTTAATGTTTTCTTTGAAAATGCTGAACCCAGAAGATGTTTTCAAAATAATTCTATGAGTTATGTGCACTTTTACACACCCAAGTGCTTTGAATGACTTTCTGGAGAACAAGAAAATGTGCTCAACAGTTGAATTAAAACACAATCCACCTACAGTGCATCTTCAAAAGCTGTTATAGTTCACAACAGCACTAAACAAGTACATACAGGTGAGTGACAAACTAAAGGAAAACCTGAATAGATGAGTGAAGAAACAAAATGTATGCAGATGCTTCCAGACAGGTCTAACGCAGGGGTCGCAACCCAAATGTTAAGAAGAGCCATTTTGTTGTTTCAGCGAAAATCAAACCACCTTATGAGCCACATTTTTTGTGCCCATTTTACCGTCTTGGCTGTAAACATGTCTCAGTATGTGGTAATATGCCAGTGTAGCCTAACAGATTTAGCCAATATAAACAAAAACGCAGACTTACTATGCTCTGCTTTAAGCTTCAGCTCAGCTACAGCTGCTTCTCTCGCATCTTCGGGAGACTTTTCCAAGTAGTGAGGATGAAAGGGGTGAAGTTAGCTCTCTTCATCCTTCACATAGGCAGGTAGTGTTGAGTGTCCAGGTGAGGTTGTCAGTGATGCACATCAAGGAGCTTTTGACTTTCTCCGCAAGTGAACCATCGATGTGCAGTGGAAAGTCATATTCTGCAGCCTTCACAGTCACTCGATCTTAACTTAGTTGAACACCTTTGGAAGATTTTAGACTGACTGTGTTAGACAGTCATCAGTTGAGGGAATATCTTTCGGAAGAGTGGTCTTCCATACCTCCAGTACAGTTCCAGAGACTTGTAAAATCAATGCCAAGGTGCATTGAGGCTGTCCTGGCAGCTTGTAGTGACCCAACACCTTACTAAGACACTTTGGCCCCTACAACTGAGCCCTTAGCCCTCTGTTTTGCGCATTCACGTCTAGGGGTAGGGTGTCCAACTCTTGTTGAGATAGAAGGGTAGTGGTAGGGGGAAGTGTTAGGACTACATGACCCTCCAAACAGAGGTTTTTCAGAGACACTCCAAACAGAGTGTTATGAGAAAAAAAGAAAAACCAGCGAGATGGACAAGAGATCAAAGAAACCCACAAATGTGAGAATTTTCTCTGTTAAAAAATTACAATAACCTCGTATTCTCTTAGTTTAATGTTGTTTCAGTGTATTATGGTCCTTTTCTTCATAACAAGCATAAAAAATCGCTATTAGCATGCTAATGTCTCGGTAGCTAGCTAGCTAACTTTCCCATTCCACCTTAAATAGTCCAGCAGTTCTGACACCTGAAGCGCCAGAATGTAACTGCTGCTCCATTTAAGGTGGAACGGGAAGGTTCGAACAAGAAGCTGGTGAATATCTGACTTCAGCTTCACATCACTGAAGAATTAGGGGTGGGTGATAATAAATAATTGCCCCCCTCTTTGAAGATCATATGATGCCCTAAATGTAACTAAAGCCCAGCAGTGAGGAGCTGAACTTTACCCTCCTCTGCTGTTTCTGCAGACTGGCAGGGTCGCCTACAGAGCAGCGCTGGTAGCTGTTAATGAAGTGATTTGTTTTTTTTTCTTTTATTTTAGGGTTGTCCCATTTTGTAGGGCAAGAAAGGGCAACACTACCCTTTGTAACTCAGTTCCAAGGGGTTAGGATGACACTTGAAAACAAGGGGTAGGGGTAAAAAGAAGAAATGGGATTGGCTTTTATGGCTCTAATGCTTTTTAGGCTTTTTAGAACAATCAGCAATGACAACTAAGACAGTTTTGTCAAACTAATAGAGGAAAGGGCAGCCAGTAGTGTGTATCAGTAGTGGTGTGTTCCTATGGCAGGTTTTCACTGTAAAATAGTTCTTCTCCAAGAAGACACATGGAAACTCTGGAAATGATTAACAAAGACTAATGTTACTTCTTCCCAGCAGACCACACCTCGTTTTAGGTACAGCTTTTCTATATGAACACTAACTATGAGGTAGTGCTTCGGTGTAGAACAGTGTAGATACATTAGCAGGTTTTAGATAGATAGATAGACAGACAGAAAGAAAGAAAAAAGCAAATAAACAAAGAACTTTATTGATCCTGAATGGAAATTGCAGTGTTTTAGTAGCAGGACATATAATTTCACATAAACTTACATACACTGTGCATAAAATAAAAAATAGAAATAAAAATAGACATAAATTAAAGTATAAGAGTAGAAATAAAGTATATCTATTTGCATATTTACATAGCATATGAGACAGATTTGTTGTATTTACATGAGAGCAGGCACTGAGTGGTATGAGGTAAACTAAAGCACAATGAGTATAAACATAACTAGGAGTTGCATGATCCTTTAAAGCCATCTGTGGTCTGCTGGAAAGTATTAGCACTAGCAGATGAGATGAAAGGCTCACATTGCTCACCGGTTTCTGTTTTCTCTGGACTTTCCAAACAGATTTAACCTTTGTGATTAAATAAAATGAATTCAAAAGTTCCATGTAGTCAGAGAGAGAGAAAGATCATGTTAGGTTATTGTCAGCGGTGGACAGTAAGGTAGTAAATCTAATTCGTTGCTGTACTTAAGTAGTTTTTCCTTTATCTGTACTGAAGTATTTCCATTTTGGGCGACTTTTTACTTTCACTCCACTACATTTCAAAGTCAAATATCTCACTTTTTACTCCACTACATTATGAGAAATCTGTCGTTCCTTTTGGTTTATGTGTGTATAAAAACGTAACATGTCAAAACGAAAGAAGTGTGAAGCAAAAACACCAATCAGGGCACAGCGGTCACTTTGTTTTGAGCTTGTTTTGACCTGTTGGTCATACCGACCCACTGGAAGCATATCCACACTATACTTAGGTCACTTCAGCAGGTAAAGCAGGGTGGGTTTAATGCAAACACTGACTGACAATCACACATCAAGGAATTAGTGAACAGATATAACATATGGCCCTGTGGGAAAATAGACCACAGTATAGAAATATGTACTCATATGCAGTTGTGACTGTCGTGTCTTTTTTCTGAATTTATACAAACACTATTTAATTTTATAGTAAATTAGTTTTGGCTAGTTTATGTTTATGAACAGAGACCTACAGATGCAGTTTAGTAAAGGAGACTCATTTGTGAATCTGAGTTTAAAGTTTTTATTAAACTTAAACTTGTAACTAAGTTACAAATAAATCTTAAACTGAAACTTTGCTTGTTTGTAAAAAGTGATTTCAGAGCCACTCAGTTCTACCTGATGGAAACTGTTTGCCTTCAGTGTTTTGTGCTTATGATAACTTTAATAGACATCAGCGTCACTAATTAATGACATTCTATTAAAAGACTGGTTTACCAAGAGAGACACTGGAGTATTTTCACCTAAAATGAGTTAATGAAGCGAGTCTTGTTATAAAAATGATAATAGGACATTAGAGTCATAATTAATCTTTTAGTACTTTCACTTTTGATACTTAAGTACATTTGAAGGTGAATACTTTAGTACTTTTACTCAAGTGGAGGTCTAAAGGGAGGAACTTCTACTTTTACTGGAGTAATATTTAACCTTGGGTATCTCTACTTTAACTCAAGTACATGATTTGTGTACTTCGTCCACCACAGGTTATTGGGAAGTGTTCGAGACTATTTCCACTAACTAGTGAAAGTGCATGGAGTGCACATAATAAAGAAACCTCAGAAGAGCTGTTGTGTCTTAAAACACCATGAAAGGGTCAGTCGCTGAGATGAAAACATGAATCTGAGAAGTCAACATGAAAATACGTAAAAATTAAATTCTTTTGATATGATTCACGTGCAGGTATGAATATCCAAACACACTTGTGCCCAAACAGGTTTACCATTCAGCTGCACAACTTTATGGGTGTAACAACACATCCTTTGTTCGTCATCCTACAGTGATGGCAAAGTAAACCCACAGCCAAAATATGTTTCAGTGGCCTTTGGCATAAACAGCATTGTTGGCGTAGTTACCCAACACAGGAATCCAATACAGACTAATAATGACTTCTCCTGAACCGTTAGTTGAACAGTTAAGTGAGTAGAACACACACAGATATGCATGAATAATCAACAGAAGAAATTATTGTTTTAAATTCATGGCATGGGATTAATATCTGTCTTAGAGACACATGAGGAAGACAAGTCACATAATTCTTATTAAGTGAAAAACTACTTTATTATAGAAAGATGTGATGACGTTACTTTGTACTGTGTTACCCCCAACATGGACCAACTCTAGTATAAAAAATCAACAAGATGCCTTTAGAGAGGTAAAATATTACTCCAGTAAAAGTAGAAGTTCCTCTCTTTAGACCTCCACTTGAGTAAAAGTACAAAAGTATTCACCTTCAAATGTACTTAAGTATCGAAAGTGAAAGTACTAAAAGATTAATTATGACTTTAATGTCCTATTATCATTTTTGTAACAAGACTCGCTTCATTAACTCATTTTAGGTGAAAATACTCCAGTGTCTCTCTTGGTAAACCAGTCTTTTAATAGAAGGTCATTAATTAGTGACGCTGATGTCTATTAAAGTTATCATAAGCACAAAACACTGAAGGCAAACAGTTTCCATCAGGTAGAACTGAGTGGCTCTGAAATCACTTTTTACAAACAAGCAAAGTTTCAGTTTAAGATTTATTTGCAGCTTAGTTACAAGTTTAAGTTTAATAAAAACTTTAAACTCAGATTCACAAATGAGTCTCCTTTACTAAACTGCATCTGTAGGTCTCTGTTCATAAACATAAACTAGACAAAACTAATTTACTATAAAATGAAAGTGTTTGTATAAATTCAGACGTCAGTCACAACTGCATATGAGTACATATTTCTATATTGTGGTCTATTTACACAAAGTTAGGTTAGTTCATCATTTATGTTGAATAGACTCTCCCAAAATTTTACGCTGCTGCACTGATGTTGAACCGTGTGCTGCACTGGGTCGGTATGACCAACAGGTCAAAACAAGCTCAAAACAAAGTGAGCGCTGTGCCCTGATTGGTGTTTTTGCTTTAGTTTTGACATGTTACGTTTTTATACACTCATAAACCAAAATGACCTAAAATGACTTGGAAAAATGTCTGGTTCCATTGACTTACATTAAAAGTAAAGCAGGTTTTTTGCTTCTCCTGTAGTTACCATTTTAGAGTTACGAGGTTTCCCTCCAACAACAGCGATATGCTCATTTACAAAATAACTCAATCAAGAAAGAAAAACAGCTTGGGTTTAATATTCACTTTCCAGATTGTAACTAAAATATGACAGATGAATTCATGTTGACAGCATTTATTCCACGTTGGCAACAGAACAAGTTGACTCTTTCACCTTTATTGCCTTCTAAGGACAGACACACTTTACTAGGTTAATATCCACCAGCAGCCAGCGGCGGTCTGCGCACTAATCAAAGGCAGCCGCCTAGGTTTTCAGTAATTTCAATGCAGTCATCCAAGCATGGTTGTAACGGACTGTTCCAGGTTGTTATGTAAGGACACAACAGCGTAAAGACGGACTGTTAGATTTTGCAGAGGAGGTTCTTCAGTGTGATTTTCTGTGAGTTGAGAGAGAAAATCAAACAAAACGCAAAAAGGAGGAGGAAAGCAGAAAGTTTGTCGTTACGCTCTCAAAAATAAAGGTACTGGGGTGGAACCCTCAAGGGTCCATCTCAGTACCTTTTAGCTACGTTCACATTACAAGCCTCACTTCTCAAATCCGATATTTTGCTCAAATCCGATCTCTCTGACAGGATGGTTCACACTCGTTTAGGTAAGTGATTCAAATCTGTCATTAATGTGATGAACCGGCGTCCTGAAATGTAAACTACCTCAGTTTCCCATATATAAACCCCGTTTATCACCTTTGGGTTATAATTGTGAGCCAGGCCTTCTCGTCCAACATCAGTGCCTGACCTCACAAATGCTCTTTTGAGTGAATGGACACAAATTCCCGCAGACACACTCCAAAATTTTGTGGAAAGCCTTACCAGAAGCTTATTATCAATGCACAACTGGGGCCAACTCCATGTGAACATCCATAGTTTTAATAGGATGTCCAACAATCTCGGTGTGATGGTCAGCTGTCCACATACTTTTGGCCATATAGTGTATTTCAAAAGCAGAAATTAAATCTCAAAGTAAACAAGTTGACCAGGAAAAAATGTAAATAGATAATTACAGTGTATTTATCATTTAATAAATGATTGAAATGTTGTATAAAACATCTAAACATATTTGGCGAGTAGTTTGTAATATTTAAATCCTCATTGTATGTTATTGTTGTATACAACAAAATATAGAAACAAAAATTGCTGCTATGCCAAGTGATTCCAAACCTTTGAACGTCAGTGATCCACCGTAAATAAAGAGCTGCTTACCACATCTTTGGATGGGAAAGTCCAAAGATACGGTGATAAGTGGATTATAATGCTTATTGATAAAACTCTCAAGATTAGTACGACTTTATTGAGGGTGGAAAGGCTGGGTTTATCTAACATCCTGGCATTTTAGCGTGTTTTATATTGTACACACTGTCTCTGTTTCCAGATTGGACTCGACTTTACTCCATGGTTTGCGCCCACTGTTCTGGAGCGTGATGAGCAGTTAATGGTCTTTAAAAAGCAGCTGGAAATATCCAAAGAGCTGGAGCTGCCCGTGTGAGTGCGCCTCAGTTTGTGTTCGGTGTTTCCACCATGCCTACTGATTTAAGCTAATATTAATGCCCCTGATGGCCCTAATGAGTTACATAGAATAGTATCTGTGAACATATGAGTATTAAAAGTGCATGTTAAACAGTTTCCACTGTGGCCCATTTTAAGCATTGCTTAGCGAAACCACTCACTGTGTAATAAAACTGCTCCGGCCTTATCTTATAAGGAATGTGCATTCCCGCTCCGCTGCCAAGGTCACCATAGCTACGATGAAAGAGCAAGGTAAGCACTGCGAGCCAAGACCTTTTTTGGTGTCTTTATTTGGACGTCTGCAAATCAGCCTTGTGGTTTTTCACCTTTAGGAATCAGACATGCACTATTACATAATTTTGCTGGGAAGCCATCCGTCGCTATGGAGGGGCTTCAGGCTGGATACTACTTCTCTTTTCCCCCTGCAGTCAGCAGGAACGATCAGGTTAGAAGTAGATCTGTATTTTTTGAATTTCTGCTGTTTCCATCCAAAAGCACCTTGCATGCACATGCTCTTATTGCCAGTTTATTAGAAACACCTATCTTGTATCTACACTCATTGGCCATTTTATCAGATACAGCTACCATATAGTTGTACCTTGCATTGATGAAGCATTGATGGATGGGGGAAAGGTCAGTTGACAGATATGTGCATAACAGATGAGCTCCAGTTTGTAAGTGTGTGCTTAAAACGAGCAGCTATGCCGTCCCTTCTATTTTGTGAACTCTGCAGCTTCATGGCATCAAATTGAGCACAAACATCTTATATAATCTCCATAGGAAAGCAATGGCAATGGTATATGCTGCTCTGGAGTAGCCAAACAGGAGCCTAATATTACCAAGCAGGTATTTTACATGTCGCTGTTGTCGGAAGAAAACCTTGTATCTCCAAAAAGATAACTTTACAGGAGAAGGAAAAAACCTACTTTACTTTTAATGTAAGTCAATGGAACCAGACTTTTTTCCCAAGTAACTTTGGGCTGTTTCTTTTAGTCCATGAAATTTACACACAGTGTAAAGAGCAACATGCATTTTCAAATTATATGAAAAACTGAAAAAAGACAAAAATGGAGATACAGGATTTCCTTCCGACAGCAGTGATATATACAGTACTGTCCAGAGTCAGTGACCACCCTTCATTTATTTAATTTCCAGCCCGAATGACCGTTAAGTACATATGATTTATTTTTCAGGAGATATTTCTGAGGAGATAAACAGAACTTAAAGAAAAAGGAGAAAATCAAGCTCTACTCTTGCATCAAAAAATCCACATTTATGTCCATCCTTCCACTGTTAGGTTTTCAAGCTCTTACTGAGAAAATAAAAAAGACATTTAATAGAAGAAAATTTGCAAATCAAACAAAGAAGCTGCTGGTATTCTCAGAACATTGTACTGGCCACCCCAGAGTCCAGACCTCGGCAACACTGAATGAGCTTGCGATTATTTGGATCCTGAAAAGAATGGAAGCTGTAATAAAAAAGGGTGGACACACTGAATACTAAAACAATTCTGTTAAATATGTTTTCCTGATGCTTAAAAATGAATATCTTGCATGTAAAGGCCGTTTTAATTGTAAATGAAATACAAAATACAGGAAAGGTGGTCTCTGGCTGTTGCAGTGTACTGTAGGGTATATGGTAGGTGTACCATAAAACGGCCAATGAGTGTAGATACAAGGTAGGTGTGCCCAATAAAAGGACTCACTGTTGGCCATATGCCACATCGTATGATTCACCCTAATGACGATCAAAGTCTGCTGCTTAAATTTGTAAATATTTGTCACAGGTATCCATTTCTGTGCCAAGTAGGCAAATTTAATCAAACGGCTGCCCTGTTTCTACAACCTTGACATTTCAGTGGGGTCAGCCTTTCAACTGCATTCTAAGCATTGCTGCAAAAACATGCTGAAGATGAACTGTGTGGGGGTGTGTGAGCGTCTGAGGTGCTATGCTGATTTACACTGATCAGGCATAACATTATGAGCACCTCCTTCTACGCTCATTGTCCATTTTATCAGCTCCACTTACTATATAGGTGCACTTTGTAGTTCTACAGTTACAGACTGTAGTCCATCTGTTTCTCTGCATACTTTGTTAGCCCACTTTTACTCTGTTCTTCAGTGGTCAGGACCCCCATGGACCCTCACAGAGCAGGTACTATTTGGGTGGTGGATCATTCTCAGCACTGCAGTAACACTGACATGGTGGTGGTGTGTTAGTGTGTGTTGTGCTGGTCTGAGTGGATCAGACACAGCAGCGCTGCTGGAGTTTTTAAACACCTCAGTGTCACTGCTGGACTGAGAATAGTCCACCAACCAAAAATATCCAGCCAACAGCGTCCCGTGGGCAGCGTCCTGTGACCACTGATGAAGGACTAGAGGATGACCAACACAAACTGTGCAGCAGCAGATGAGCTATCGTCACTGACTTTACATCTACAAGGTGGACTGACAAGGTAGGAGTGTCTAATAGAGTGGACAGTGAGTGGACACAGTGTTTAAAAACTCCAGCAGCACTGCTGTGTCTGATCCACTCGCACCAGTACAACACACACTAACACACCACCAACATGTCAGTGTTACTGCAGTGCTGAGAATGATCCACCACTCAAATAGTACCTGCTCTGTGAGGGTCCATGGGGGTCCTGACCACTGAAGAACAGAGTAAAAGTGGGCTAACAAAGTATGCAGAGAAACAGATGGACTACAGTCTGTAACTGTAGAACTACAAAGTGCACCTATATAGTAAGTGGAGCTGATAAAATGGACAATGAGCGTAGAAACAAGGAGGTGGTCATCATGTTATACCTGATCGGTGTATGTCTGCGGCTGTGCTGATGATCAGTCTTAGTCACATATGTAAACTTCCTGAACTAACACACTGTAAACTGTTGGAATAAATACTTCTGTGTGACCTAATGGTGAGTCATATTCTGTGTTCTTCCATTGCAGAGAACCAAACTCATCAAACAGATTCCTCTGGAACGCATTTGTTTAGAGACAGACTCACCAGCCCTGGGGCCCGAAAAACACGTAAGTCATGAATATCGTAAGTCACAAGTTTCATGAATATACTATCCGTGGATGTTCCACCAATGAGATCCCCGCAGTTTACAGCTGGTGTCTTCTCTTCACTCCTCTAGGTGAGGAATGAGCCTAAAAATATCACCATCTCTTGCGAATACATTGCAAAAGTAAAGGGAATATCTGCAGAGATTGTTGCTGAGGTCACCACACAAAATGCTCTGTGCTTATTTCCCAAGTTGAAGTTGTAGTAATTTAGTGTTATTGAAGTACAGGGTGATTCAAAAAGATTAATCTGATTTCTAAGCACCATGTTTTTACAACCGTGAGGCGTCTAGGAACCAATCACAATCCAATTGAAAGAGGGGGTCATAGAGTTTCTGACTGTCAGTGGAAGATGGCCCCCTTCAGTCTGAGAGGAGATGAGACCCCTGAGCAGAAAGCGTTCTGCGTTCTCCACTTCAATAAGAGTGAATCCGTCATAACTGTGCAGTGTGATTTTCGTGGGCAGTGAAGCTCCAACAGCTCAGAGCGTTCGTCGTTGGTTCCACAACACTGGATGATCTCCGAAATCGCACTGAAAGAGCCGTGAGTGCAGCGACACCCGACACGCTCAATCCAGTATGGGATGAATCTGACTATGGTGTTGATGTTGTCTGTACAGCTGGAGGAGGTTCATACTGAGACCTTGTACAATTACATAATAAACTTTATGCTCATTTAAACCATTTACAGTTTTCTGCATTGTTCTGTAACAATTTACAGGTGAAATAAATCATTTTGAAAATCTGATGAATCTTTTTGAATCACCTTGTATTTTTTATTTTTTTATTTCTTTATTTTTTTTTTTTTTGTTGCTTTTTGGCTCAGAACAAACTTCAGTAAACTGGGAGCATACGATTTTTAATAGTGCTTCCCATGACACACAAGCATTTAAGATAAAAATGAAAGCAAGAAAATTGAAATAACGTATTTTTACACATTTTTAATGATGATTGTCTGCATTGCAGCTGTCTACCATGCTTTCTGGAGCTTGATGTGCAGTTGTTCACACCAGATGAGCTTTATCTGTAAGAAAAGTAAGAAATAAAGGAGTGTTACAGGGATCTACCGTAGCGTTCAGTGTTTAAAGATTTCACAACAGGCTAGTCTTATCAAGAACAACTTGAATGAAACTTTATGATACTTGAAAGATCTGATAAATTAACACTGACACATGTCCCAGACTGAGATTAACCTTTGGCCCACATTAAAAAAGGCTTTCTGAAGGGTGAATCCTTATTTAGGTTACAATTCACTAGACTAGGCTTAATCCATGTCAGGGAAACTGGCTCATAGAATTGCATAATATAATTGATCTGAAGAATTGTAGTGTTATTTGACAGCTATTCACCCCACCAGCACAAACTAAAAATGGACTAGGTAGGCCTGTTTTCAAGGACAGAAACAGGAGCTTTCTTATCTGTGCTGAGCGGCAGTCATGAAACAAAACCTGCATTAAGGGTCTGCATAATTACTTTTGGTAACACTTTCTATGAATGTCATGTTTGTAAGCATCTATGAACACATTTATAACGTGTTATAATGCATTCACAAGGTACTATAAACATGGTTATAAATATTTGTAAAAATTAATTACACTGAACTACATTTTTGGCCATGTTTATTATACATTATGCATTGTTACTATAATGCATTATAATTAGTGTTAATAACATGTTATACTGTCAGTGCCAAAAGTAAAGTAAAGACATACAATGTTTTTTTATGCCCTTCATTCTGTAACACTACACTACAGTACAGTAATGCTAATTTCTGCTAGCATTCTATTGGATATGCAGTAATGAGTTAGCGCCAAGCTAACGGTGGTGTACATTACCTTTCCCACATTGGGTAAAACACTGATGGCAGCTCTAGTTTAAACTCTGACATTTGAAGCCTGTAATGTGCTTTACTGTGAATGTTTTAGTGTTTCAGTAAATCCTTCAGTAAATACTTCAACTTGAAGCCTCACTCTGAACACTGGAGGAGGCTTTAGTACAGTACGCTTCACTTTACTTAGAGCGGACAAATACGACTTATGAGCTCTTATAATTTGTTATGAACAGTACTTGTAATGTATTATGTTAACAATACATAATGCATAATAAACATGGCTATAACGTGTAATGCATTTTTATAAATATTTATAGCCATGTTTATGATGCCTTATGAATGCATTCTAATTTGTGTTTATAGATGCTTACAAACATGATATTCATAGAAAGTGTTAACGAACTTTCTTTGTTGTTTCAGCAATCTTAAATTGCATTTTGTTGAGACGTGGCGAACCCCGAGCTTTAAAGGGGAGTCTTACTGATTTTTCACAATTTCTGTATAATTCAACAGTTGAGATGTAAACGACATCATTCAGAGTAGTTTGATGTGAAATGATTCATTGTAGACTAACTTGGTGGCTAAGATTTCTTTACAGCGGTGCTGATAGGAACCAGGGGTCGTGATGTCTACAATGCAAATCGGTGTTGTTGGAAGAAAACCTCATATCTCCAAAATGATAACTTTACAGGAGAAGGAAAAAACCTGCTTTACTTTTAATGTAAGTCATTTTGGTCCATTTCTTTTGGTCCATTCATCATGAAATTTACACACGATGTAAAGGGAAACAGACATGTTCAATTTATGTGAAAAACTGAAGAATAAAAAAAGGACATACAAGGTTTTCTTCCAACAGCAGTGAAATACAGGCATTTTATATTACTATCCAAAACCAACGAGTGAACATCCCTCCCATGTAGTTTTCCACCAGGATCGTGTTTTTTTAAAAATGCTTTAGGCCGAAACCCTGATACCGAGCATGTATCGGTCCGCTGGCTTGATAAGGTCGGCACCCCACTGACTGTTTGCCACTGCTGGTCCCCCCTCGGACCACCCAGATTACTGTCCTGCAAACAAGCTCTAACTAGTTTTTAATCTTCTCAAACAGATTTTAAATGCACAGAGACTTTTATTTTGGAAAATAAACTTAGAAAAACATTACAAACAACTGAGAGAAAAATAATAACTAGGCCTGATATAAAATGATTTTGTAGAAAATGTTGTTGCTGATGCTGAGCTGGATTAAAATTATTGACTAAACTAATTTATAAAGTATAATTAAAAGGAAGGAAGGAGAAATAAGTAAACTGGACTGTTAATGGAAACTGAGTGATTATAAGTGGAATTTTGTCTATGACTCTGTGTAAACACCACTGGGCCGCCCGGAAAACGCTGTGCAAAACGCCAATGGACCGCCAACTTTGCCATCAGTGGGCCAGCGGTGGTCCCCTATCCTCTTGCTATCAGGGAACCTTATCACTAAAGTTAAATCAGTATCTCAGGCAGTGTATTTGTACGGAGCCCCGGAGGGGACGGAGGTAAAAAAAATATTAATCAATTCGAGCGAATGTTTTGCAGTTCTTATGCACGTTTTCTTTTATTCGTGGTCACGATTTCTTAAATAGCTCCCTCTTTTTTTTTAAACGTGCGCACGTTTTCTTTACTTCGTGGGTACGTTTTTGTTTATTCGTGATCACGACAAGCTGCGGTGTTAGATACCATCACACAATTACAGGAAGAAATGATCAGCGTCAACGTTTCAACAAACTCAAATTAAACACACACAGACACATTCATGGGCGATGAGGTCAAATGGCGAGAGAGTTTAACAGATCTATGGATCAGATGTAGATATATTAATGTGAGGATGTTGAAACGCTGATCATGTCGTCCTGTAATTGTGTGATGGTCCCTAACACCGCAGCTTGACTGGGAGCAGAAATACTGCGGGCCCTTCGCTGTGAAGAGGAGCTGCAGTTTCCTCATAACCCCCCAAATCAAAATCAGACCTGATGAGCATCTCTGTCCATTATCTCATCAATCTAACACGTCAAAACCCGTCAGACGGTCTCAGGGAGCTGTTATCAAAGTACAAACAACGAGCGTTCAGTTAAAAATAAAACATGACCACGGTTAAAAGAAAACGAGAGAACGAATTAGAAAATCGTGATCACGAATAAGAGAAAACGTGCGTACGAACTATAAAACGTTCACTCGAATTTATTTATTTATTTTTTTTTTACCTCCGTCCCGTATATTTGTGACAATTTCTTGTAATAACTTTCTGTAAGTTAGCTTTCAGGGACACTAAGTGCTTCAGACGTCTGGTTCCTATCAGCACCACTGCAGTGAACAGTTGGGTACGTTTCACATCAAACCACTCCGAATGACTTTGTTAACATGTTAACGACTTAATTATGAGGAAACGTGGGGTAAATCGGTGGAATCCGCCTTTAATCTGGAGCTGCGGCCTTTAAAAAGTAAATATCTGCGAGGTTTAGCCACAAAGCTAACGCATCCTTACAGCTCTCCTCAAAATGTCTTCTCTCGCGATATCTCGCGGGACTTCCCATCCAAGCGGAGCGCTCCTCGGGTTTCGCCGTCTGCGTGGCGCTGAAGTCGCAGGTGTTTCTCAGGTGATGGTCGAAGTGTCGCCTCTGAGCTCGCAGCCAGATCCCGCTGTCCGCTTCCACGCAGCACCACGTCTCTCTCCGCATGTTCAGCTCAAACAGCTCCTCCGCTTTCGACTTCGACATTTCGAGCCGTTGCTACGAGCTACCACAGTTAGCAGCGCGGCTAGCTGCCCGATTAAGCTCCATGGCAACCGGAGGTTCAGCGTCCCTAGTAACAGTGTGACAAATAGTGAACTGGTTCAGTCTGGCTTGTGCGCGTGTGAATAGCAGAACACGTGTTAGTTTACAGTGGTGCACAAACCGTGTACTTGAGTTAAAGTAGAGAAGTAAAATATTACTCCAGTAAAAGTAGAAGTTCCTCCCTTTAGACCTGCACTTGAGTAAAAGTACGAAAGTATTTGCCTTCAAATGTACTTAAGTATAAAAAGTGAAAGTATTAAAAGATTAATTATGGCTCTGATGTCCTATTATCATTTTTATAACAAAACTCGCTTCATTAACTCATTTTAGGTGAAAATACTCCAGTGTCTCTCTTGGTAAACCAGTCTTTTAATAGAATGTCATTAATTAGTGATGCTGATGTCTATTAAAATTATCATAAGCACAAAACACTGAAGGCAAACAGTTTCCATCAGGTAGAACTGAGTGGCTCTGAAATCACTTTTAAGTTTCAGTTTAAGATTTATTTGCAACTTAGTTACAAGTTTATGCCCTGCGATGGACTGGCGACCTGTCCAGGGTGTATTCTGCCTTCCACCCAATGACAGCTGGGATAGGCTCCAGCACCCCACCGCGACCCAGAAGGATAAGCGGTTTAGATGATGGATGGATGGATAGTTACAAGTTTGAAGTTTAATAAAAACTTGCTATAAACACACTTTAAACTTGCTTTTAAGCACACAGCCTGTTCACCATCCTGACATCAGGCAGGAGGTTTCGCAGCATTCAGGCTAGAACAACCCGGTTAATGAACAGTTTCTAACCACAGGCTGTCAGGCTTCTGAACAAGCTGTGAAGCTGTGGGTCCTTCACCAACTACCATCTCACTCAGTCACTCTGTCAGCATTATTATTATTATATCATATCTCTGCTATGGACAGTAACACTTTAACATTAAGTCACTTTAAATAACAATAACACTAAGTCACTTGAGTCACTTTAAAATGCATATTGTCTCTATATTTTGTGTATATTTAATATATTTCAGTTTGTTTTTCTTATATTTTTATTTTTACTTATTTTACTTTCTGTAGAGTGATTAGCTGAGTGTCACCACAAGCATTTCAATGCATGAATGTCCTGACTTGTTGTGCAAATGACAAATAAACTTGAAACTTGAGGTTCACAGATGAGTTTTCCTTTACTAAACTGCATCTGTAGGTCTCTGTTCTTAAACATAAACTAGCAAAAAACAAATTTACTATAAAATGAAATAGTGTTTGTATAAATTCAAAAAAGTTAGGTTAGTTCCATCATTCATGTAGGAGTAAATTAATACTTTTTACGCTGCTGCACTGATGTTGAACCGTATGCTTGCACTGGGTCGGTATGACCAACAGGTCAAAACAAGCTCAAAACAAAGTGCGCGCTGTGCCCTGATTGGTGTTCTTGCTTAGCGCTTCTTTGGTTTTGACATTAGGGTTTTTAAACACACATAAACCAAAAGGAACGACAGATTTCTCATAATGTAGTGGAGTAAAAAGTGAGATATTTGACTTTGAAATGTAGTGGAGTGAAAGTAAAAAGTTGCCCAAAATGGAAAAACTTCAGTAAAGTACAGATACAGGAAAAAACTACTTAAGTACAGTAACGGATTACGTTTACTTTATTACTGTCCACCACTGTTAGTATATGATGCGAAAACAGAGCAATTTCAGGACCTCACGGTTATTATGTTATGATTCAGGTGCAGCAGCCAGTGCAAACAGCGAATAGGCCTCTATGTGGCTCTACTGGGTTAAACTAAGATTATGGATTAGTGGCAAGGAATTGCCATATGGCCATGCACACAGCTAACCTGGAGTCCATTCATCTGTCTTAGGCAGCCTTCTGCTTGTAAAGCTTGATTAATAGGCAATCAGCCCATGACCGAAAAAAAAAAAAAAAATCATTAGTACTGTAAAGGGGAACCGATTTTTTTCAAAATTTCATTTTCTACTGACATTGATCCGATACTGATACCTTATATCAGATCAGTGCCGTCTGATAAGCATTTAACCCTTTGAACCATTGACTTATTATTCTATTTTAAATCTTAAGACTTAACCACTACAGACTGGAGAGAGTAGCCGAAACCCAAACTCAGGTACTTCAGTAAAACAGCGACTAAAAGTAAACATACTTCTCCAAAAAAAACAACTTAAGAATTACAAAAGTACCAGGTCTAACAAATACTTAAATATGGAGTAACTTACAGAACTGCAGTGCAGTGTTTAATAAGCTATATTCTACTATTTCTGGGATCCGTTTGGTCTAAAAAATAGTAATAAATCTCCAATGCAGCACAGATGCAGTCACCAACAAAACATATAGAAATTAAACAGAAAAAGGGAATGAGCAACTAAATATGAATGACAAAAATTGAACTAAAAAGTAGATTCATTTCTTCACAAATGTACAAAAATCATTTCAAAATACTCATCAAAATTTAATTTAGTAACCTTAAAGGGAAAATCCACCGATTTTTCAAAAGTTCTTTGTAATTAAATTGTTAACATGTAAACAAAGTCATTCAGAGTGGTTTGGTCTGAAATGCTACGTTCTAGAGGCCTTACTGAGTCAGAACTGTTCACAGTGGTGGTGATAGGAACCAGACGTCCACCTCTAAAAGCTCCCTCACATAAAGTTATTACATGAAATGGTTAAGAATACTCAGTCTGATCTCTGAGCCTTTTTTTTCGACAGTTTTATGATAATGTTTTGATCTAAAATATTTTCTAAATAATTTATTTTAATGTATTTCAAGGTGGAGGGATACATGAAGGGTGTTTTAAGGCAAAATTAGTTCCTAAAGAAAACTTAATTTTTTTTAGATTTACCTCTATTTTAGGTTCAGGTTCACTGGTGGTTTTGGATAGTGAATAAAAATGTCTATATTTGTGTTGTAGTCATGGCGAACCATACTTCCTCTTATTTCACACCAAACCACTCTGAATGATTTTGATCTCAGTCACTCATGCAGAAATTTTGAAAAATCGGTAGCGTTCCCCTTTCCGCAGTTCATTTGATCTGCTTGTTCTTGAACTTGTTCACATGACCAAAGTCTTCGGCAGCGTGGCTGTTTCGTGACCCTCCCTGCCTGCCGTCTCATTGGTCTCGTCCTTATCGGAAGGCTTTGACAGAACCTTCGCATCATATTTTCCCACCCGTTTTCCGGCACGCCCCAACCCACGCTAGGATTGGCCAACAGTTTATACCCACGATCAGCCCGCCGATTACTAGCCAATCCCAGCGCAGGAAACGGGAGCGTGTTAGCCAATCACTATGGCACACAGCTCACTATGACACCCACCCTGCTCTATGACGCAGTAGTCTCCAGATCAGCCAATCACAGCTCAGCATGCGGGACCGTCAGTCCTAATGCAGGGAACCAGGTGCGGACGGAATACAGGTGGGATAAAAATAGAGTAGGCTGAACCAAGCTATAAATGCTGAGAGGATGCGGCCATGCCACCTCCCTCGTGAAGTCGGATGTAGGAGTGTTACCCCGAGCCTGTGGAATGAATGTGCCCCCCATGTGTGTTACACGTCTCCGTCCGCCGGCTTAATAAGAGCGAGGACGTAATTACAGCCGTTATTACGGGAGGTCTTCTTTCCGGGTCTCACTGATCACCTTTAAGCCGACTGAGCGCATGTAAGGATTAAATACACCCCATTAGTGTTGATCGCGCGCCGTGGATGCTAGAAAGGGAGCGCTGATTGCATCATGGTGGCGGGAGAGCTGCTTCAGGAACACGCTCGGCCCGGCAGCGCTGCCTGCGAGGAGGCCGAAGCGGACAAACCCGAGACGCAGTACCAGGATCTCGCGAACGGGGCGATCCATGTGACCGTGCCGGACTCGCAGCGGGCGGACAGGGAGCTCCCGCCGAACGAGAAGGAGGCGATGCTTCCGAGCGAGCGCAGCCAGACACCGGAGACGAGGCTGTACTGCCGGAGGTTCGCCGTGCTGACCATATTCAGCCTGTACTCGCTGGTCAACGCCTTCCAGTGGATCCAGTACAGCATCATCGCCAACATCTTCACACACTACTACAGCGTGTCCAGCGTGATGATCGACTGGCTGTCCGTGGTCTACATGGTGGCCTATGTGCCTCTCATCTTCCCCGCCACCTGGCTGCTGGACAGAAAGGGGCTGAGGGTGACGGCGCTGCTGGGCGCCGGTTTGAACTGCGTGGGCGCCTGGTTGAAGTGCGCCAGCGTTGGGCCCCACCTCTTCTGGGTCACCATGGTGGCCCAGATCGTCTGCTCCGTGGCCCAGATCTTCATCCTCGGCCTGCCCTCCAGGATCGCGTCGGTGTGGTTCGGACCCAGAGAGGTTTCCACCGCCTGTGCCACAGCAGTGCTGGGTAACCAGGTACACACAGCAGCGTTTCAGTCATGCTGAAGAGGATCTTCAGTAAAGGCAGTGGTTCTGTATAGAACCAGAAAGTTCTGTATAGAACCATTTGATGGTTAAATGGTTCTTTGTGTGAGACTGATGGAGAATGTGCTGTTCTAACCCTTTTAGATACTATATGTTACATATAGCACCAAAAAGGGTTCTGCTGCTGTTACATTTGGCACCAAAAAGGGTTCTGCTATTGTTATATATAGCACCAAAAAGGGTTCTGCTGTTGTTACATATAGCACCAAAAAGGGGTTCTGCTGTTGTTACATATAGCACCAAAAAGGGTTCTGCTATTGTTACATATAGAACAAAAAGGGTTCCGCTATTGTTACCATCAAGCATCGTATTTATAGCAGAAGCCTTTTTGGTGCTAAATGTAACAACAGCAGAACCCTTTTTGGTGCTATATGTAACAATAGCAGAACCCTTTTTGGTGCTACATGTAAAAACAGCAGAACCCTTTTTGGTGCTATATGTAACAATAGCAGAACCCTTTTTAGTGCTATAGGTAACAATAGCAGAACCCTTTTTGGTGCTATAGAAAACCACTTTTAAAAATGCTCTATGTAGAACCAGCCCGGAGGGAACCCCTTTAGCAGAAGAGAGATTAACTTAAGTATTTCACTGTGAGAAGTTCTGGTGATGAATGAGAAAAGCGTGAGTTCTCCTTCTGCACTGACACACTGCTGGGTTCTGTGATCTAGAACAGAGCTGTATAAGAAAATCTGAGATCCTACACTGTTCTTATGGCGACATTATCCAGCTGAGACTGGGCTGAGACGAGTCAGACACTAAAGAGTTAATCCTCATGTGTGACCACATTTTGAGTTTTATTTCTCAGGAGCCGAATTTCAGAAACAGGAGAAAAGGCTTACGTCTCACTCTGACTTCACACTGGGCTCAACTATGTTTTCGAGAAGTAGATGAGATTAAGAGGAGATCTCATTCAGAATATTTATTTTTGGGATATACAACAGATCCTCCAACAATGAACCACTTAACCATTAAGTTCTGTGTTCTATGTAGAACACTGAAAAAGTGACAAATCTAACGTGAACATTAAGTCTACACAAATAAAACTGCCCAGTGTTGTATTTACAGCATTTTGTATTTCAGTTGACTGATTTTTGGTAATATTTGAGTTAATATAATGTATTATATTCATGAATAAGATATGATTTACACATTGAAATCAAAGAAACTCAGGACAGATATTCAGTATCATAGTTTCAGTATGTTTGTTCTGAGACTGACTTCACTAGTGCATTACTATGTTTGCTTAGCAACCAAGCACAAGCATTAGAGTTGGTACGATACCACGTTTTGTTTTACGATACCAATACTGACAGCGAAACTTTGAAAAACGATATTTTATTATATATATATATATATATAATGCTGTTGTCTGAAGAAAACCTTGTATCTCCAAAATGGTAACTTTACAGGAGAGGGAAAAAACATACTTTACTCTTAATGTAAGTCAATGGAACCAGACTTTTTACCAAGTCATTTTGGGCCGTTTCTTCTGGTCCATTCATCGTGAAATTTACACACAATGTAAAGGCCAACAGGCATTTTCAAATTATGTCAAAAACCAAAAAACGAGGTTTTGTTCTGACGGCAACGATATATATATACACGCTCATCATAAGTGAAGTTCTTAGTATTAAAAAAATTACTTTATATATATATATAATCATTTTTTTAATACTAAGAACTTCACTTATGATGAGCGTGTGTAGGCTGTCAGGCTCAAACTACTCAAACACTCTACAAACCCACAGGAAGAAACACACAGCCAACAACACCACATCACACAAAGAGCTGTTTCAGGATATATTTGTTACAGAATTAATTAATTCTGTTTCATCCTCTAATATCCAATCCAGCATTTTCTGCTGACATTGATCCGGTACTGATACCTTATACCAGATCAGTGCCGTCTGATAAACATTTAACCCTTTGAACCATTGACTTATTATTCTATTTTAAATCTTAAGACTACAGACTGTAGAACCACTACAGACTGGAGAGAGTAGCCGAAACCCAAACTCAGGTACTTCAGTAAAACAGTGACTAAAAGTAAACATACTTCTCCAAAAAAACAATGTAAGAATTACAAACGTACCAGGTCTAACAAATACTTAAATATGGAGTAACTTACAGAACTGCAGTGCAGTGTTTAATAAGCTATATTCTTCTATTTTTGGGATCTGTTTGGTCTAAAAAATACTAATAAATGTCCAACGCAGCACAGATGCAGTCACCAACAAAACATATAGAAATTAAACAGAAAAAGGGAATGAGCAACTAAATATGAATGACAAAAATCGAAATTAAAAAAGTAGATTCATTTCTTCACAAATGTACAAAAATCATTTAAAAATACTCGGTAAAATTTAATTTAGTAACCTTAAAGGGAAAATCCACCGATTTTTCAAAATTTCTTTGTAATTAAGTGGTTGAGATGTAAACAGAGTCGTTCAGAGTGGTTTGGTGTGAAACGCTCTGTTCTAGAGAAACTTACTGAGTCAGAACTGTTCACAGTGGTGGTGATAGGAACCAGACATCCACCTCTGAAAGCTCCCTCACAGAAAGTTTACGACAGGTTTGTGATAATGTTTTGGTCTGAAACGTTTACTAATCAATTTATTTAAATTTATTTTATGGTGGAGGGATACCTGAAGGGTGTTCTAAGGCAAAATTAGTCCCCAAAGAAAATGTATTATATCAGATTTATCACTATTTTCCATCATCAACATTCCATATAAACTCAGAAGACTCGTGTAGGTTCACTGGTGGTTCTGGATAGTAAATAAAATGTCTATATTTGTGTTGTAGTCATGGCGACCCCTGGGTCCTATCACCACCACTGTAAAGACATCGGAACCATTTCACACCAAACCACTCTGAATGAAAATTGGTTGGATTTCCCTCTAACTAGTTACGACTACTATGTACTGGTAACTACTGTGAATTATTTGGTAACTACTGTGAAACTGATCTGTAACTCTTTCTCTCAGCTGGGTGTTGCCATAGGTTTCCTTCTCCCACCTGTGCTGGTTCCGAACACGCCTGACGATAAAGAACTCATGGGCCGCAACATAAGCATCATGTTTTATGGAACAGCGGCCATCTCAACCCTGCTTTTCATCTTAACAGTCATAGGTAAGGTGTCTGTTAGCAGTGCCATGTGCAGGACATGTTGCCAAGATGCCCTCCAAGAAATATTAAAAATAGCGCAGGACGTGTGACGGTGAAACACTATATGAACATGATACACACACTAGATCCTTCAGTGTTTGCGTAATGATGTGTAAACATTTGTAGCAGTCAGTGATGTCATCTCGAGAGATAAAGAGATTGTAGAGGAGCGGCAATGTGCAGTTCTAGTCCCAGGAACCTGCTTCCTTGCCAACGTTAGTTCAGGCATTTCCTGGTCTTTACAAATATGATTCAGCTCTAAATAATGCGCTGACAAGTTTGCCCAGGTCTGTTGGAGAGAACAATAGGAGCTGAGAACCTTTGACTTACTCAGAGCTCTATATGTTCACTCCTACTCACAAGCCTGGAATCAGCCAGTTTTGTGGCAGATGGATATATACACTGTAGGACTGTCACTAGTCCTATAAAAGAGTACAAAGACAACATATCAAATGTTGAAACTGATCAATTTTATTGCTTTTTTAAAAATATATGCCTATTTTAAAATTTGATGCCGACAACACGTTCCAAAAAAGTTGGTGATGCTAAAAAAACACCTGGTGGTTAATTCACAACAGGTCAGTAACATGATTGGGCATAAAAAAAGCATTTCAGAGAGCCTGCGTCTTTCAGAAGTAAAGATGAGGAGGGGTTCACCACTCTGTGAAAGACTGCACCATCAAATAGTGCAACAATTCAAGAACAATGTTTCTCAACATAAAATAGCAAAGAACTTCTGCTTTTCATCATCTACGGTACATAATATCATTAAAAGATTCAGAGAATCTGGAGAAATCCAGGCCAAAAACCAGTATTTGCTGGCCGTGATCTTTGGGCCCTCAGGCAGCACTGCATTAAAAACAGACATGATTCTGTAGTGAAAATCACTGCATGGGCTCAGAAACACTTCTGAAAACCACTGTCTGTGAAAACAGTTCATCACTGCATCCACAAATGCAGGTTAAAACTCTAAAACGCAAAGAAGAAACCAAATATAAACAGGATCCAGAAACGCTGCCACCTTCTCTGGGCCTGAGCTCATTTAAAATGGACTGAGGGGAAGTGGAAAAGTGTCCTGTGGTCCAACAAATCAACATTTGAAATTCTTTATGGGAATCATGGACATTGTGTCCTCCAGGCTAAAGACCACTCAGCTTATTATCAGTGCACAGTTCAAAAGCCAGTATTCATGATGGTGTAGGGGAGCATTCTATAAAGGCACCATTAATGCTGAATGATATATATATATGTTTTGGTAACATATGCTGCCATCCAGACAACGTCTTTTTCAGGGAAGGCCATTATTTCAGCAAGACAATGTAAAACCACATTCTGCATGTATTACAGCAGCATGGCTCCGTATTAAAAACATCTTGGTGCTAACCTGACCTGCCTGCGGTCCAGACCTGTCACCACTGAGAACATTTGGCACATTATGAAATGAAAAATACTACAAATGAGCCCCTGAACTGATGATCAGCTGAAATCCTGTATCAAACAAGAACAGAAAACATTTCACTTTCTAAACTACAGCAGTGTCTCCTCAGTTCCCAAACGCTTACAGAGTGTTGTTAAAAGAAGAAGTGATGAAACACAGTGGTAAACAGGCCCCCGTCCCAACTTTTTTGGAACATGTTGTTGGCATCAAATTCAAAATGGGCACATATTTTTTCAAAAAACTAAAAAATTCTCAGCTTCAACATCTGATTTGTTGTCTTTGTAGTATTTTCCTTTAAAAATATGATTTACATGATTTGCACATCATTGTATTCTATTTTTATTTACACAGCGTCACAACTTTTTTAGAAATGGGGTTGTATTCTGATGATTACTCGAGTAATCAAAATGCCTGGCAATAAGATGGATTTAACTGAAATTAAGTGTGAGGAACTGAAGACTTTTCTGTGAATTGTCCAGAGTGATAAACAGACCTGCTTCCTTAAAAATAACTTAATGATTTTGGAAAGAGGTCATGAAATCTTGAAGCACATAAAGACAAGAAATTACTACAAATTTACAAAGCAGTATACTTTCTGTGGTGCTTTTAAGTTGTTGGTTCCCTGAATAAAACATCTAAAACTACAGTTTTATTATTCAAGAGTGTCTTAGGTCGTAATACATTCTTGAATAACATTACAAAACCTCTGAATATGACACATTAATAAATGTTTCTTTGAGCTAGACCTTAAAGACCCTCTTTCTCTCTCTCTCTCTCTCTCAAGTCATTCAGGACAGACCTCCACTGCCGCCCAGTCAGGCTCAAGCCGTCCTGCCCACAGGCCCAGCGGAAGACTATTCGTACAAGAAGTCCATCATCAATCTGTTCAGGAACAAGCCCTTCCTGTTGCTCCTTATCAGTTATGGTGAGATAGACATCAGCTCTAGTGCATCAAAGTATACAGATTAAAGGAATACTCCACTGTTTTTCACCCTAATCTCAATCTGCTGCATCTGCAGCGTGCTGACGATGACCACAGAACACATTTACAGTAGACGTCAGTTAGGGATGCACAGATACTTGAGAAGTTAACCGTTTGAGACATTATTGGAATAAAGAAATCACTATTTGGGTATTTGTTAAAATTTAATCACTTGAAGATAGAAAAAAATAAACAGGGTAACTACTGTGTCCAAAAACGATGAATTAAATAAATGTATTAATCTGACATATAGCATGTTGTCCATCATTGGAGAATGCACCTTGTGTAGAAGAAAATGATTCCTGATCGGCATCCAATGACAAAGCTTTAGTGCTGCCACCTGTCCAGCATTTCCTTAGATCATCCAGGATTGCGGTTCCTGGGCACAAAAAGGCCCAGAATCCAAGTTCAGTTGGCTTCTTTTTATCCAGTTAAACCATACAAAGAACGGGTTTGACTTGTTCAGATTACCCACAGCTTAGAGACGATTGTTTCAGAAAGGTTCAGTGTTGGAGACACCAAGTAGCATTGCAAAATGATACCTGTGGAGATTAGGTTGTCTAGCTACTGTGACAAGCCACTGATCAAGTGTCCAGGACCTTTGCAGGACTGAAGTGACATCCTTGCATAAGGAAGCTGTTTTTCCTTCCCTGCTATTAGCCGGATATCCGTTCATAAACTTCTATGGATAATCAAATATCAAAATTAGTTGAAATGCATAAACCTAATGGGCATCTCACATGGGCAGGCACTAAACCTAATGCCCATTGGCTTCTGTTAACACTGTTAAGTGTGTTTTGGTTAAACGTGATCCCGCGACCCAGAAGGATAAGCGGCTTAGAAAATGTGTGTGTGGTTAAATGTGAGTGCGTATTATTTAAATTAAAGCATTTATGCTTTAAGAGGGTCACTGCATGAAGTGAATGACTTACATTTCAGTTAAACTGTTCTACACTGTATGTCCAAAAGTAAACAGACAGCCCTTCTCATTAGTGAACTCAGCTGCTTTAAGGTGCATCCATTCCTGACTCAGGTGTTCATTTGCACACACACAGCTTGTATAATCTCCATAGAAAAGCATTGGCAATAGAATGAGACGCTTTAGAGCAGCTGCATATGAGCCTAAGGTTACCATGGCCAGTGCCAAGCTTCGGCTAAAGGGGTATAAAGGCCCCCAGCAGTGGACTGTGGGGCCTTTATACACAACTAATCATCCAGCATCAGTAGCTGACCTCACTAATGTTCTGTTGGGGATGAATGCAATCACATCCTCACAGCAATGTTCCAGCATCTAGTGTAAAGCCTTCACAGAAGATTCGAGAGTTTTACTACAGCCAAAGGCGACAAACTCCTTGTTGATACCCCTGATATCAGGAGAAATGATGAGCAGGGCTACACTCTATTTGATAGGGTGAGGAGCTCGGCCATCCGGGAGGAGCTCGGCGTAGAGCCGCTACTCCTCCGCATTGAGAGGAGCCAGCTGAGGTGGTTCGGGCATCTGATCCGGATGCCCCCGGGACGCCTCCCGGTGGGGGTGTACCAGGCACGGCCTACCGGGACAAGACCCTGGGGTCGTCCTAGGACCCGCTGGAGGGATTATATCTCCAAGTTGGCCTGGGAGCGGCTTGGGGTCCCCGGGAATGAGCTGGAGGAAGTTGCGGGGGTCAGGGTCATCTGGGATTCTCTGCTCTCCCAACTGCTACCGCGACCCTATCTGGACTAAGCGGTTAACGATGATGATGATGATGATGATGAGCAGGTCTACAAACTCTTGGACATACAGTGCTTGTTGTTATGGATCTGACTTTACCTTAATTATTGATTCTGTGATTCTGTGCTGTTGTTTACTTATGATTCTTTATTATCTGAAAGATTTTCGTTTTTTTGTAAGTAACTAATGAATCTGTTTTTCAGGCATCATGACGGGATCTTTCTATTCAGTGTCCACACTCCTCAATCAAATGATAATTGCCCATTATCCAGTAAGTAAACGTTTGCTGACCTCAGTAACTGATCATTCGAAATGTTAATGCACACATGCTGATCAGAAGTGAAATCCTGTCTGACGGACATACATCGCTAGCAGCGGATGAGTCTGAGCGCAGGTTCATTGTCTGTGCTCTTGCAGTTCATTAGCCGCTTCTTCACGCATGCCTGGCCCTCATGAGAGAGAGGCGAAGTTTGTTGAGAAGAAGCTCTGTGTGTACTCTGCAGGCTGGCCTGCCCTGCCAGACCAGGTCAGCTGACTTACTGGCGTCCTGATTCGAGGGCTTTCCCACCAAACTTAAGTCTCTTAACTGCACCTACCATGTGACATCACTTCTACGCTTATTACTTAGTATTACCTCTATTATATAATCCAATTACTCTGAGGAGACATTCAGGGTCAGTTAAGCAGGTCACCTTCTCCAGATTACATATGGACAGTTAGGAGAGTCAAGTGTTGGCCAAAATATTGAACACTAGAACTACACTCTGAACTCTCACCCAGGTCCGTCACAATTATCACATAATTGCCTAATTGCAAATGTTTTGCGTTCCCTTCCTAATAAAATGCGTTCCCTTGCAAATGTTTTGCATTATGATGCAACGGTTTGCATTCGCTTGCAAAAGCTGTGCTTTGCTTAAGCTCAGACATGAAGCAGCTCATTTTAATCAATTTTATATTGATCTTGGATTGAAATATAAAGACATGGTGTCGCTTCTCAAAATCAAATATGATTCTGCTGTTAATGAGCGCAAACTCAGACTGAGGTCGAGTTTCCTCATACAGTAAAAGTTACATTTACAGAGACCTGCAGAGAACAATTGCTGAATAATCTCAGCACAGACTGGCCAAACTGGGAAAACAGGTTTTAACAATAGCTCTAATGTAGGCAGTGCCATTGGGCACCTCTGGTCCTACGTCTGCTTGCTGTCTGATATTATACATACATACATACATCATCTAAACCGCTTATCCTTCTGGGTCGCAGTGGGGTGCTGGAGCCTATCCCAGCTGTCGTTGGGCGGAAGGCAGGATACACCCTGGACAGGTCGCCAGTCCATCGCAGGGCAGACAGACAGACATACTCACTCACACCTAGGGGCAATTTTAGCATGTCCAATCAGCCTGACTGCATGTCTTTGGACCGTGGGAGGAAACCGGAGTACCCAGAGGAAACCCACACAGACACAGGGAGAACAGGCAAACTCCACACAGAAATGACCCCGGTCGCCCGGCCAGGAATCGAACCCAGGCCGTTCTCGCTGTGAGGCAACAGCGCTACCCACTGCGCCATTATTATATTATAGGGAATGCATATATTTTGCGAGGGACTCCCTTAGGGACTCCGTATGATCTAACTTGTTTAGAGGGGGGTTCACATAATGTTTATTTCTTAGTTATGTGACTAATTGTAATGCTTTTAGCATGTATTCTAGCAGAGTTGAGTACTTTTTTCTCATAATTTCACTCTCATGAAAATCACTCTGTATGTTATTCTGTGTACATGCAGTATTTTGACAGTACAATCACTGTTACTAAGCTACTAAGTAAACATAGCTAAGGAGGAAGATGGCTAATCAGCTAATTTGGCCACTTTAGGCTTATAATTGAATAGTTGTATACAATGAAATGTAATTGTAATATAATTGCAATTATTTATATGACAGTTAATATAAATAATTAATAGTTAATCGTCTCATCATCACTAACGGAATCTCTTCTTTCAGGGAGAGGAGTTGAACGCTGGTAGAATTGGTCTAACCCTGGTGGTGGCTGGAATGGTGGGCTCCATCCTTTGCGGGCTGTGGCTGGATCACACCAAAACTTATAAGTATGCCTGAGTTTCTTGCAGAAATAAAATAATAGATCAGTTACAATCACTGAGAGCTACACTGAAAGAAGTGATGCATCAAATTCACTTGATTGAAATGTGTACTTAAATTCCAGATTAATAAAATTGTTCTTCTTGTTTATTTACTTTTGGCAATGCTTTGATGATGATTATATTGTCATATGAATGAAATGAAAATGATGTACACATTTGAATCAATTCAGTTCATATAAAATACATTTCTTTTTTTCAAAGTATCAACTCTTTAAGGCCGATTTCTGCCATTTAATCTGCTCTTCTGCTGTAATACTGCAAGTTTTACATTATGCTGTTGCATTTATTTGATATGTAAAGCATGTGATCCAAAACGTTGTCGATTTTTAACTTAGTTTGTCACAAATTACCTTTTTGAACAAGAAAACGCATAAATAGGAATATAAACCACACATTTGTTGTGTTTTATTATTACTCTGATGAAATAATGATTAATAGCATATCAATCTGAATGAGTCTGCACGCTTCCTCGGAAAACATCACAGTGCATCCAACAGACATAGCCTTGTTCTTCTTTCGTATGGTAATAGAAAACTAAATTATACAGGGAGATTCACTCGAAAGAGGCCCCAAATATTCTACTGTAACTCCCGTTAGGATGAAGCAATCGGAACCAAAAAAATACGCTACATACCTTGACGTATGTGTAATCGATTGCACTGCATGCAATGCTGGAAGTGACCTCCGTTTTCTGCCAGATGCATGAAGGGGTACGGGGGTCTGCACCCGGAAGTTGCAAACGGAGGTTAAACGGCTGTCCGGCGCCTCCCTCATCGCTCCGATGCAGGGCCATCCCGGCTTGTTGGAAGCTCCATATACTGAGGAGCTCATTTCACGTTGTTTGGTTCAGATTGATTCATCCTAGCGAGAGTTATTACAGAATATTTGGGGCCTCTTTCAAGTGAATCTCCCTGTATTTCTTCTTAACATTAACTCAGGTGGCTCTTTTTGCATTTTATGTAGTGGCAGCATTCAGATATATACAATCGTATGCAGAAGTTTAGGTGTCCCTGGTCAAATGGCATGTTTTGTTGATTTTTTTTAAACTAGTAAAACAAGTCACAACACATCCTCTACAGAGAACATACGTCTGCACATTTAAGTACAATATTACTGTTTATTTACTGTTTAGATTATACTGTTCATTTAGCATATTAGAGGAAAAAATAAAGCACAAAATGTGGCCTGTATTGAAAAGTTATTTCATATTTTCTGTATGTTTAATTTCTTTACAATTTTTTTTTCATAAATACAAATTGTGCACTAAAATAAGCAGCAAAGTGCCGTACTTACGTTTGTTCTGTGTAGATGATGTGTTAATGTATTTTCACTTAAATCATCAGAACATGTCATTTGATCAGTGGTGTTCAGACGTTTGCACACAACTGTACATGAACAATATCAGATATCTGATATCAGATCAGCCAACAATTCCCATATCAGCGCATCCCTTATATTTTTGTCCCACAAAATCAGTTACAAATTAATTTATTCTGACTTGAATAGTAATATTTGTTGAGGACTATGGTTGTATTATATGATTAGGCCACTCATATCACTGTCAGATTTTCTTTATTAATATCCGTTAATCTGTGTGAGATTAAAGGTAAGGAGATTTCTCCCACGCTCATTATTTTCTGTGAAAGTAACTTTTCACAAAGAGGATTAACCCTCATCGTTAATGCCACTGCTGGAGCCGTTGTTTGAAGGCGCAATAAGTATAATTTTCCATTTCCCATTAATAAAATACTGTAGTGATTATTAATTAATGGCATTAGGGGTGAAATGTTATATAGTTATAGAAGTGAAGGCAGGGCTTTCAGTGTCAAGATGAGAGCATTAAATGCAGGTTATATTGTAATGAATGTCTCTTTCTGCCCATTTAGAATGACTACGCTGATTGTGTATATCCTGTCCTTTATTGGAATGCTGGTGTTCACGTTCACTCTGGACTTGCAGCAGCTCCTCGTGGTTTTCTTCACTGGTGGAGTGCTGGGGTATGTCTGGATTTGTCTACAAAATCCATCCCTGTTGTTTTGTTTGAAGCAATGCAAAGCTTGCGTCCAGTGCATTAGAGCCGGCAGCCTAGTAGTAGGAGAACTGAGCCATCAACCAGAAGGTTGTGGGTTTAAATCCTACAACTGACTAGGTATACCTGGTTGTGCCCTTGGTCAACGCACTTAGCCCCCCCCCCCGGGCAGCGCTGCTCTGCTGGTGATGCTGTGCTGCTCCCAGATTGGGCATAGTTAAGCAGCTAAATGACATATTTCCCTTGTAGGACCAGTAACGCACTTAACATAACATAGAGTTGCATTTCAACACTGAGTGTGGAGGTTCAAGTCCCAGCTGGGCCATGTTCTGTCTGGGACTGGGATTTGATGATGTCATTGTCGCAAACAGTGAGGAAGATCATCCACATGTTAGACTCAAATACAACTGACCATTATCAGAGCTAATAACTCTGAGTTGTCACTGAAATGTAAACAACTTCAAACCTCAGTCAGAGTGGTTTTATATGAAATGGTTCAGTTTAGAGAAACTTACCAGCTCAGATTTCTTTACAGTGGTGGTGATAAAAACCAGGAAGATGTCTTGTGAACACAGGCATTGTATTTACTACGCAAAACGACCAGTGAACCCACACGAGTCTTCTGAGTTTGTATATGTAATGTTGCTAAAATAGAGGCACATCTGAAAAAAATACTTTTCTTAGGTTAATATTTTGCCTTACAATGCCTGTTATGTACCTGTTTGCTGTTTTAAAGTAGCTTTAAGCCAAAAACCTTGTTGTAAAATTATCACGGGACAAAGTTTGAGGCATCAGGGAGCTTATTTACAACCATTTTATATAATACATTTATGTAAAGGAGCTTTTAGATACATCAGACTCTTCAGACATCTGGCTCCTGTCACCACCATTGTGAACAGTTCTGAGTGGCTGGGTTTGTCTAGAACGGCACGTTTCACATCAAACCACTCTGAATGACTTTGTTTGCATTTTAATGGTTTTATTTCTGAAATTCTACAAAAAAATCAGTTAAAATTTCCTTTTGACATGATTGCTTGTCAGTAAACTGGGGATCTGTTCAACACCACCATGTGGCTGAATTATGAAATGCAGATTTTTGAAGGAACCACATCAGGCAGATTTTGATAATGAATGTTTCTTTTTTGTATATGAATTATAATATTCAAAAATAACCAGCAATTTTGAGAAATTAAGATCATCCACCTGTAATTCCTGCGCATTGAGACAGAAATTTGCAGGTAATTGCTGTTCCAGAACAGCAGTGCTGTTGTGCAATATGTTCAACGTTCAGCATTGGCAATGACACCTTTAAAAATAGAGAGAAATACATAAAAATATTATTGAAACAAGAAATTCCCAACAAACACACATACATACTTTTTCAGTTTTTGATATAATTTAAAAATACCTGTTGTCCTTTACATTGTGTGTAAATTTCATGATGAATGGACCAAAAGAAATGGCCCAAAATGACTTGGAAAAAAGTCTGGTTCCATTGACTTACATTAAAAGTAAAGTAGGTTTTTTGCTTCTCCTGTAAAGTTACCATTTTGAAGACTTGAGGTTTCAACAGTGATATGTTTAATTTTCCTTTAATTTAAAGACTTAAAACTTGCTGTTTTGTGTGCTTCATTGCTCTGACATTGTCATGATGTTTCTTTCTGCTTTAAAGGTTCTTCATGACTGGATATCTGCCCATTGGCTTTGAATTTGGTGTTGAAATAACGTATCCCGAGTCTGAAGGCACTTCATCTGGTCTTCTTAATGCGTTTGCTCAGGTAAGAGGATTGGAAATGTTTAGCTTCCTTATTTGAATAGCCAGGCTACCAGTTGCCACCACACCAAAGCGCTTGAGGCATTTTCATACACGCCCAGATGGCATGTAGCCATGGCTCTGTCAGGCAGCCTGATTTTGCATATATTTTACTAAAGTGGTTCTGGATATAAATACGTTTAGCTGACTTAATGTCATAGGAAATTTCCGTGGTGTGCTGTTCTCTGTCCTGCGCTAACCTGTGTGCCTGGCTTTGCAAATTGTAGGTGTTTGGAATCATTTTCACCTTCATCCAAGGAAAGCTCACCACAGACTACAACCCACAGGCTGGAAATATCTTCATATGTGTCTGGATATTCTTTGGCATCATTCTAACAGGTGCTTTTTCTGATGCTCTTTTCTGAGCCACAAATAATTCAGGAGAAAATCAACAAAAAAAGCCACATTTATTGCACGTCACAAAATGTCTACTCATTTAGGAAATGGGTAAAATGCAGCCAATACAGAGTAATGCATTCACACTGTACTAGCCTTATATCAGGCATGTGTGGAAAGCAGAGGCAGCTTATACAAAGTTTTGTGGAAGTTTTGCTGCCTGCTGTTATAAAAGCATTAAAGCAGGTACAAGAAGGCCGGTTGTGGCCATGAAGGGACGCACATATACAATACTCAAATAGGCTGTGGCTTTCAAGCAATGATTGATTGGTATAATAACTTTAGAGACTGTTGTGTGTGAAAATTCCAGCTGATCAGCAGTTATAAAAATACTCAAACCAGCACCAACAATCATTCCACGGTTAAAACCACTGAGATTACCTTTTCTCATTGTAATGGTTGGTATATATACACACATATATATTTAGGGCTGTCGTGATCATGATCATTTTAAAAGTAACTTAATTCATTTCATGTTCGCTGTTTATAATTAAAAATACAAGCCTCAAATGGCTGCCCTAAAGTGGATGATTGGCTACTTGATATTTACTCAGTAGTGAACACTGGTTGTACTGCACGTTTTTCATAAGAGTAAAAATATAAGCAAAAATTCTCGTTCTGTCTTTATTCACAGCTGCCCTCCAAACATGTTAGAGCTCAGTGAATGCATTTACTGCTTTCTTTTATTTCCATTTATTTGCCCCAACTCATTGCACCCATTTGAACTTTTGTTCTAACTGTTTATCTATCTATATGTGTGTGTGTATGTGTTTGTATGTTGTGCATATACTGTATATTGGTGTAAGTGAGGTGTGTTAAACTTCTTGTACTGTTTTTTTCAGCACTAATAAAGTCAGAGCTGAAAAGACATGGAGCCAATATGAGCAATAGCAAAGGTCAAATGGTAAGAATCATCTTTTCATTCTCAAACTTGTAATGTTAGTTTGTTTTCTTCTAATGCTGATCTTCCCTTCAGCCCCATAACCTCTGCGTGTGGTAGAAGGTGCTCTATAACGCCAGGCAGACACTGTGCGAGTTTAGAAATCCTGTTTTTTGGTGACTCACGCTGCACGTTTGAATTGCTTATCGTGTTCGACCAAAGCCTGCGATTTACATGCTCACACTGAAAACACTCGGTCGGACTGACATGACGTGACATGGGTGCTCACACTGCACGTGAAACGCAGCCCCTACAGACGCTCTGTCTACAATACAGCTGTTTTATTCAAAACAGCACGCTGCACCTCCGAGTTCTGAGTAAAAACACTGGCTGTATCTCAAATGACTCCCTGCTCCCTACATAGTGCACCACATAGTTGCTTCTGCAGCCATAAAGTGCATCACATGTCTAATAAATAGCCTTCTGAGATTCAGCCGTGTGTGCACAGTTCCATACTGGACTAACAGGGCACTATTTTGGTGTAGAAGCCAAATTCAGCCATTGACAAACCACAACAACAGCTTTGCTAACTTGTGCCACACTGTACTGAAGCTGAAGAGCAGGTGGTCTACAGACCGACAGCTCTACAAAGACAATAAAACACTGTATTTATTTATACCTCACAATTCAACTCAGTCAAGCGGAGCAAAGTCGTCATACACGGATGCTGGTGGGATTTTTGGCCTCCGTGTCAGAGCGGTGGTTCTGACCGTGTGTGGTTTTGGGTGCGACTTTGAGGAATCGGTTCGTGAGGCAACTCAGACTGAGAGACACGCGACCAAAATTTCGGACATGTCAGAAATCCATCCGATTGTCCCACTGTTCAATCGGAGTTCGTTTGGGCAGTTAATCGGGCATCACAGCACGGCAAACGACGGCCAATGAAGCTGAAATTCGGCCCGATCATGAAATTCAGTCGGTTCTGACCAAAAAAGTCAGTCCCACAGTGTTCGTCTGGCTTTATCTGCTATGTGTCTCTCACAAAGTCAGGCTTGTGTGTCACTATAAAATGATGGACATTTCAGAGATTTCAAGGTCTGTCTGCTTTACAGTGAGTTGCCAGTTTATTACCTTGTAGCTACACTCATTGACCATTTTATCAGACTCACCCTCTGTTGCTGTACAGTTTATGAGCCACTGTCTACTCCATGTGTATCAGATGCAGCAGCTTATCTTGGAGTGTTTGGATGTGAAGCACCTGATGGATTTGGCTTGTAACTCATTTTATGTTTAACAGGCTGAGGATCATTTATAAATATTTAAAACACTCAAATAGTGTGTCGCGTTAATGACACTGTGCCCTTGTTATACACTTTATTCTCACTGCTGGATTGAGATCAATCTGACAATTAAAATTCCAGCAGCACTGCTGTGTCTGATCCACTCGCACCAGCACAACACACACTAACACACCACCACCACGTCAGTGTTACTGCAGTGCTGAGAATGATCCACCACCCAAATAGTACCTGCTCTGTGAGGGTCCATGGGGGTCCTGACCACTGAAGAACAGGGTAAAAGGGGGCTAACAAAGTATCAGAGAAACAGATGGACTACAGTCTGTAACTGTAGAACTACAAAGTGCACCTATATAGTAAGTGGAGCTGATAAAATGGACAATGAGTGTAGAAACAAGGAGGTGGTCAGAATGTTATGCCTGATTGGTGTATATATATATATATATAATAATAATGTGTTGCTATGTTATCCATGCGGTTGCTAAGGTGTTACTAGGCCGTTGCTGTGATGTCCCACGTGGTCTTGCCAGGCTGTTGCTGGCCGTTGGTGTTATTGGGTTGTTGCTATAGTGTTCTAGATGATTGCTAACGTTTTGATAGGCAGCTGATGTAGTATTCTAGGTGGTTGCTAAGGTGTTGCTAGGCTGTTGCTGCATTATTCATGTGGTTGCTAAGTTGCTGTTGCTAGGCCATTGCTATGTCATCCTACATGGTTGCTAAGGTGTTGCTATGGAATCCCGGGTGGTTGCTAAGGTGTTCATGGTTGTTGCTATAGTACTCTAGCTGTTTGCAAAGAAGTTGCTAAGCTATTGCTGTGTTATCCCATGTGTTTGCTAAGGTGTTGCTAGGCCTTTGCTATAGTATCCCAGGTGGTTGTTAATATGCATGTGTGTGTGTGCTGGTATCTATGTGAGTCTGTATGTAATGAAGGGCAGGAATGAACATGTGCACTGTGTGGTGTAATTTATGTGAATTTAAAAGCTGATAAAGGACAGTTAAAGGACAGTTCACTCAAACATAGCATCGAGGCTAACAGTGAAAGAAAGCTGGTAGGTGTAGGGATCACTAGATTATCACCATACAATTCTATTTTTAAAGATTTGTGCTGTGTTAAGAAATGAGATGTGAGAAAATGCAATATATTACAATTTATTACCTTTGACTGCAAGTCAGGCTTCCAAAACAAAACATTTTACAGATAACAGTTTTACAGTTTTACAGGTTTACAGTTCGTTCATCTCACTTCGGTACGGAACGCATTATGAGAGCAATTAAAAAAACGATTCAGTTCACTTTTTCTGCATAAAATGGATTTTTTTCGATTTTTATTTACATTTTGCACAGCGTCCCAACTTTTTTATGGAAATGGGGTTGTACTTCTGGTTTGGTCTATGAAGCTAATGAACCAAGTTTAAATACTGGCATCTATATTAATATTGTTTTTTAGGGGATTTGTTAGTTGGTCTCATTCACATAAAGCCAGCAGGCACTTATTACCCATTAAAAGATTTTTATTATATTAATTTCACCTTGTTAAAACATCCATTTGGACTTTGCTTTTCTCAGGTTCCTACCGAGTACCCTTCAGAGAAGATATCCAACGGTGTGAGGCTGGGGTCCTCCTCAAGTTTGGCTCACGAGACTTCACTGTAAGCCCGCTGAGACGCCAATGACTGTGTAGCACTCCTGAAAGAACTCGCCACCATCACAAGCTTTCCTGAGGTTACTTGAAATTGTCTCTTTTTATTTATTATTATTTTGTTTTTTTTTTTGCTGTACTGAACTTCGCATGGTATCGTTTCAGTGGAACTGTTTCAGCACATGATTTTTTTTAAGTTTGTGAAGTGAGATCATGTGAGAAACGTCCACTCGACTCCCACAGACCTCTCGGAACCTTTCAGACGGACAATCTGTCTTGCATTAGCATGCTGATCACATCCACAGTGCGCTGTAATCCTCTCATAGTGACCATTAAAGCTACATTCTGTAAAGTGACCCTTTGTCCAACCGCACTTGTCATTGCCGTTAGCTCAGAGAGGTTTGACAACACTGTGAACGTGGCTGTAATAAATATTTGAACTGCATTAACACTTTCAGAACCTTTTTAGCCAGTTTAGAGGTGATATATTGCAGCTCACTGCAGAGAAAAGCTTTGATTGTTGTTTAAATTCTTAATTCACCACTGTTCAGAAGTTTTGAATTACCTGCCAGATTAATAATTGATGTTATTTTATTTAACAATAATTTATACAGTGTAGACTGAAACGCTATAAACTAGACAGCAGAACAGTTTAGTATTTTAAGTTGGGAACAAGAAGATGCTATTAAATTATAACTAATATACCATAATTATCTCTAATTTATGGTCATTTTTTAGTTACGTTCACATTACAAGCCTCATTTCTCAAATCTGATTTTTTGCTCAAATCCGATCTCTCTGACACGATGATTCACACTCGTTTAGCTGATTTAAGTGATTCAAATCTGTCATTAATGTGACGAACCGGCGTCCTGAAATGACCCTCATGAGCTCATCCTACTCAGTAACGTCACGTGAACGAATCACGTTCATCATCAGCACAAACTAACGAGCAGAACGAGCTTCGCTGAGAAGATAATTAACTCTGATCAGCTCTCAGCTTCATTATTAGAGCGAGACGAAGGAGAAAAAGGTGAGATGAGCTGCTTTTCCACCGTTTACAGGCTTTAACTTCTGTTCGGCGCTGCTGCCATGGTAGCGCTGAATGATGGTCACGCACAGTGGAAATAAAGCACATGAATTCCGATCTGAGTGTCACTTTCAGGCCACTAGGACCACATATGAAAGTGGCTCAGGTTGGATTTGAAAAGATCAGATTTGTGTCCACACAACTCTGAAAACATCAGATCTGAGTCACATTAGGGCAAAAAATCAGATTTGTGCCACTTCAGCCTGGTAATGTGAACATAGCCTTAGATTATCTGCCTCTAAATGTGATCGAATACAAAGTATTCTGGATGTTAATTTTATTAAAACTTCATTATATTTGCCCGTTATTACAGAATCATCTATTGCTCTGTTCATCGTTCTGGACGCATCTAACATTTCTTCATTTTTACATCATATTATACAACAGTTAGTTCCGGCCACGCCAGCTGATTGGTTGAGAGGCGTTCTAACTGTGCTGTTATTTCGCCATAACATCACGGTTTTTTCACAAACACTGTATCACTCCGCTGAGACGCCGTTGCTAAGCAGTGACTTTGCCAGCTGTAGGAGACGCTCAAGACATTTGAACCTTTTTACTTCTTACTTTGCCACAAACAGAAAACGGACACTTTTAAGATCACATTTGACGGACAGCCAATTTGGTCAGACTCTGAAGATGAGACGACACTAAATTCCCAAACTGTCATCACCACTGAGCAGCTTTTCAGTCGGCAGCTGAGACAGAAGAACAGCTGAACAACCTGGAATCAGCCAGAAATGAACCCAACACCATTCGCCAAACTAAATGGGCTGATTTGCTAAGACAAAATAAGAGAACACGTCCTATGGAAAACTTAAATACAGCATTTTTCGGCACATCCTAGTGCACGGTTTCTATTCATTTGCGGAGTTTAACATATTGGAAAAAAACAAAATAGAAAATATAAACGTGCCATAACTTGTGCACATGCCGCATTTTCTGGTCTTTCCCCTCAATATGCTAAATTTAGCAAATAAACAGGAATTGTGCACTAAAATATGCAGAAGTGTGTCTCTATAGAGGATGTGTAACTTATTTTCACTAAGAAAATCAACAAAACATCGTCTGACCAGACTCGCCCAGACTTTTGCGTACGACTGCGTCAGCTGTAAATTTGATTATGTGCATGCAAAAATGAGACCAGCTCACATGACAGAGACTGTGGCAATGAACACACACTCTGCTAAAAGCCTAACAGCAGGACAAAGGAAGCACTTAGAAAATGAAAGCACACAACTGCCGGTTAAAGCACTTCTCAGACAAGTGTCTTTGAACCAGAGCACATGATTTTCTGCCCTGCAAAAAAGTTTCTGCCCTGCAAAAAAGTTTGGTCACTATGAGTGAGGATTTATCATGTAAATTAAAGTTTAAGTCGTTTAATTAACATTTTAAAGGGCCCATATTCTAAACTATTTTGCATTTTATTTTTTGCTCAAGATGTTTGCTTCTAACCTTTGTCTGATTTGATGTACCAAAAACTGTCCTAATTTATTTTTATGTGACCATGTTCCATCCTCTCTTTATCCTTTATAATTAAACAGGCTGTTTTTGTTACTGTGCCTTTAAGACTGATATATGTAAACGACTGTGTTCTGATTGGTTGTCCCGTATTCATTCGAAAAGCACTCAGAGCTGAACTATTCCTTACAACTTGGGTGGAGCTAAACTTCTGTAGGAGGAATGTATGGATGTACATCCCCATTTCCAAAAAAGTTGGGACGCTGTACAAAATGTAAATAAAAACAAAATGCAATGATGTGCAAATCGTTTAAACCCTACATTTAATTGAAAATTGTACAAAGACAACATATCAGATGTTAAAACTGAGAAATGGTATTGTTTTTTGAAAACTCAGATTGTTATCAGTGCACAGTTCAAAAGCCAGTATTCATGATGGTATAGGGGGCATTAGTGCACATGGCATGGGTGACGTGCACATCTGTGAAGGCACCATTAATGCTGAACGATATGTACGTGTTTTGGCCACATATGCTGGCGACCAGACGACGTCTTTTTCAGGGAAGGCCTTGATTATTTCAGCAAGACAACGTCAAACCACATTCTGCATGTTTTACAGCAGCATTGCTCTGTATTAAAAACGTCTGGGTGTTAAACTGACCTGCCTGCAGTCCAGACCTGTCACCACTGAAACATTTGGCACACTATGAAATGGAAAGATACGACAAAGGAGACCCTGAACTGTTGAGCAGCTGAAATCCTGTATCAAACAAGAACAGGAAAACATTTCACTTTCTAAACTACAGCAGTGTCTCCTCAGTTCCCAAACGCTTACAGACTGTTGTTAAAAGAAGAGGTGATGAAGCACAGTGGTAAACAGGCCCCCGTCCCAACATTTTTGGAAAGTGTTGTTGGCATCAAATTCAAAACAAGCATATATTTTTCAAAAACAATACAATTTCTCAGTTTCAATGTCTGGTATGTTGTCTTTGTAGTATTTTCCTTTAAAAATATGGTTCACATGATTTGCACATCATTGCATTCTATTTTTATTTACATTCTGCACAGCGTCCCGACTTTTTTGGACGTGGGGTTGTATGTAGGTAAGGTGGTTCTTGTGACATCACAAAAATGAATTAAAAACAGGCCGTTTTTGCAGCTTTTATGGAGTGAATGAGATGTTTGTTTTTTTTATCTCACCAGTATTTACATGTTACTTCGAACTCAAACTAGAATTTCCATCATGAATAAAAAGTGAGGGAAAGTCAGTTTTTTTATGATATGGGCCCTTTAAACGTTCTGTGAAATGGTGATGGACCCTGGACTTTAGAAAGGGTCTACATGGAGAACTACTGAAGGCACTGGTTTGGAGCAGGACAGCAAATGAAACCTCTTTTCAGCACAAATCACTCGGTGTCTGTAACTGTCTGTGGATCTGCTAACACATTACAAAGCTGTAATTTGGAGTCCTGGTGAGATTTTCATGATTTCATTACCTCAGAAGTGCTTAGTGGTAGCAGGAATCAATTCGTTGATAGAAAACTTTTGTAAACGTTTGTTATTCTTTTTTTTTAATCTAAATTTTGTATTTTAGACAACTGTATATTTATGTTAATTTAATGGCTTTTTTATTTATTAGTCTAGTTTTACTGAGCTCAGTGCACCACTAACAGTTAGGACACTGATATCTAGACCTCCAGGTTGTTGTCTTACTGATGTTCTGTTCATTAAAACAGTATTTAAACCAACATAATGCCAATTTGTTCCATCACCTCAAACACACTGGGAAGTTTCATGTTTTCATCATCAGAAATCAGTTGCTGAATGTATGTGTTTTGCTCAATATGCCATCCATATGGCAATATACCTGCATTTTGTCATTGAATAGGACAGCAATAGTCTGTTTCTCTGTTTCAGTCTTCATTAATAAAGAAAACACCAAACTTCTACATCAAGGTGTCATTAGTTTACTGTTCTGTACTACTTCTGACAATGTTTGTCATGATGTGTGTTTTATATACGCTAGAATCCATGTGTCAAACACAAGGCCGGCGGGCCAAATCAGGCCCACGACACAACCCTGTCCGGCCTGCAGGAGTATTTTAATTTTCTATCAATATTAGCCTGTTTCACAATGCGCTGTACTACAGTCCCCAGCATGCACTGCAATGTTATGTGCACTCTGACTCTCCTACCCCAACAACAGTCTATGGGACAGCGGCTACACCTCAATTCTACACAATTCCACACCAGTCATATCACCAAACACACTGGCTGCATTTCAGCTGCAGTTCAGCCAACATACACCGATCAGGCATAGCATTATGACCACCTCCTTGTTTCTACACTCATTGTCCATTTTATCAGCTCCACTTACTATATAGGTGCACTTTGTAGTTCTACAGTTACAGACTGTAGTCCATCTGTTTCTCTGATACTTTGTTAGCCCCCTTTTACCCTGTTCTTCAGTGGTCAGGACCCCCATGGACCCTCACAGAGCAGGTACTATTGTGGTGGATCATTCTCAGCACTGCAGTAACACTGACGTGGTGGTGGTGTGTTAGTGTGTGTTGCGCTGGTCTGAGTGGATCAGACACAGCAGTGCTGCTGGAGTTTTCAAACACCTCAGTGTCACTGCTGGACCGAGAATAGTCCACCAACCAAAAATATCCAGCCAACAGCGTCCTGTGACCACTGATGAAGGACTAGAGGATGACCAACACAAACTGTGCAGCAGCAGATGAGCTATCGTCTCTGACTTTACATCTACAAGGTGGACTGACAAGGTTGGAATGTCTAATAGAGTGGACAGTGAGTGGACACAGTGTTTAAAAACTCCAGCGGCACTGCTGTGTCTGATCCACTCGTACCAGCACAACACACACTAACACACCACCACCACGTCAGTGTTACTGCAGTGCTGAGAATGATCCACCACAATAGTACCTGCTCTGTGAGGGTCCATGGGGGTCCTGACCACTGAAGAACAGGGTAAAAGGGGGCTAACAAAGTATGCAGAGAAACAGATGGACTACAGTCTGTAACTGTAGAACTACAAAGTGCACCTATACAGTAAGTGGAGCTGATAAAATGGACAATGAGCATAGAAACAAGGAGGTGGTCAGAATGTTATGCCTGACCAGTGTATATAACTGCTGACGTTTTTGCATATTTTTAATAAACAAAGGTGATATCAGGTTGTAGCACAACATTAATTTAAAAATGAAAAAGAAACTTGTTTTTCAGCTCTGGCTCGCAGATTTGTTGAGATTTTCTAATATGGCCCTTTTACTCGATGAGTGTGACACTCCCGCACTAGAAGGATTCGTTTTTCACGGGTTACATGAAGTTGTTCGCTGTACTCCAGCGCCCTCCAGTGGCCATGATAAAACACACGCTGTGTGGAAATCCAACAAGTTTTTATATGTGATGCTGATCGTGATGAAATGATGGTAAAATATGATACAGCATGAAAAAAATATCTACCATTAATGGCTTTAGAAAGGTCGCAGTACAGCGTCTCAGACATCTGGCAACATATTGGTGAGTATTTCGTGCACTAGCTTACTGTGAGGAGGCCTTTAGGGTGTCAGACTCAGTCACTGAGTCACTAAAAGGGCCATATTTATACACTCAACAAATCTGGGATCCAGAGAACGTTTTCATTTCATTTTTAATTGATATTTTGCTATAACACGAACTGGCCATCGTTTAATCAAAATATGCCTAAACAGCAGCAGCAAAACAAGTACTTGTGGTAGACCTTGAAATATTGCCTGCATATTTGAAATATTTAAAAATATTATATTTATATACTGCATATAACTGTTAAACCTATTTATATGTTTCCAGGAGGTATTTTTAACCTGCCTATTTGGTTGAACTAGACACCTGGCAACTTTCCTTTCTGTGGTGTAACCGCTGCCCCATAGATTGTTGCAGGGGGACTGGGGTCGGAGCGCACTTTATGTCGCAGGGCATGCTGGGGGTTGTAGTCTGGTTCCAGTCACCACCGCTGTGAACCCTTGCTGGAACAACTTCGGCTTGGAAAGTGAGAACTTTTGACTTGTGTATGTAGAAAAATGTAGTTCCAAGTAAGTCTCCACTGTCTAATGGCCACTACACGAACGGTCACTAGACAAACAACCTCATTTACGGTGAGAACTTAACTTAAAGAATCGGCCTTTTTTTGTTTAAACACAACCTCAACTTCTGCACTTTCGGACAGAAAGTATTTTAAACCGTTAATCGAAGTCGGTTTATTTAAAACTGCGTTTAAGCAAAGCAACATTTATAGTCCTTGAACTAAAATTAGACATTAACGCTTATAAATGTAATTTTAGATCCATCCTAAACATCGTGCACACTCGATATCCAAACGTTTAGAGGCGCGATATAAACAGATAAACCCACTTAAATCGCTGCATCCAAACCATAGATAAACACACCGAGATGCCGCGGTGGGTCCAGCCAGACACGTCAACGGCACCGCCATTTTAGGGCGGTCAACATCACTGCATTCAGTACCATTACAGAGCAGCAGTTTAAGAAAGATACTGTCCGAAATTACACTATTTCAAGAATATTGCTCTCAGAAAGTGGGATAGGATTATATATGACTATATAACAGAGGGAACGCAGTGATCCACACTCATGGCTGTGTGATGTTTGTGTAGATATGGCCGTGTGGTTAATGAGGCACAGAGAACCTGTTGATGTGATTGTTTTTCCTCTGGTTTATATTCATCTTATTTCATTTAATAGTCTATTCAGGGGATCTTAACTTTATGTAGTAGTTATTTATTTACAGTGATGGTCAAAGCTTGTAGTTACAACATTCCTTAATCTGTGTAGATACTCATAATAGATTAACGTTAACACCTTCTTACACAAACCTGAAGTCTTCTTACTTGCCAGTTTCTTGTTCGAATTTTCCCGTTCCACCTTAAATGGTGCAGCTTCAGGCACCAACAAGTGACTGCTGCACCGTTTAAGGTGGAACGGGAAAACTCGAACAAGCAGCTGGCGAATAGGAAGCGAACTTCAGCTCCATCCTTCTGTGTATAAAGATTAGAAGTGATTCACACATCGATGGATTTGCTTTTTGTGTTTCTACCGGAGCGCTAAACTCACGTCGGGTGCAGGCTGAATACTGTCCTGTAGGGGTCCCTGCGCCTTTAAGAGAAAGGGGAGAAGCGAAGTTCTGATCAAGCCCCTGATTGGACAGCGCAGCCGATGTCACGCCCTGTTTTGGGATTCACTGCGAATGAAAGAGGAAGCCCATGCCCTAATATGGAACAAGCCCCGCCTCTCTTTGTGTGCCGCGCCCAATGGAAACCGAGCGCGAGCGTGGTTGGCTGCCTGGTTACGAGGAGAGAACAAACGCTGCCGAACGCGATGTGGATTAACCGTCAAATGAGCGGGTAGATGAGGGGAATTGTTTGAAAATAGCTCGTTTGGAGGCGGTGCGGTGGGTTTGGGTTGCCGTAGGAGCCCGACGCCCCCTCGGTGCTCTCTGCAGAGGAGGAGGAGGAGGAGGAGGAGGAGGAGGAGGAGGAGGAGGAGGAGGAGGAGGGTGAAGTTGGGTCAGGTCGTAACTGGACTCTCTCACAGCGGACCGCGGACGGAGGAGTAAACACGGAGGATATCAACTCGCTTCTGCCCTAAACGTTCATACGCCGCCGGTATCGTAGCGAAGCGACCGAGCAGCGGGTATTATTTCATTGTTTTCCCTCAGTAAAGCGGATTTGGGTCAACCGTGGTCACATTAAATGATGTGACTCCTCTTAATAGACCTGTTTGGAGCCGCTTTCACGGAGCGTTTTGAAGTAGCTCCTCCAGCCGAGCTGACTGGGTTGCCCGGATTACTATGCAGTGTTTATAGCGTTTCCAGCGATGCCTGTCGTTGATTAAGCGGAGCGGCTGTTGCTGTGGAGGTCGGAGAGAAAGAGACCAGAAAGAGCCACGGAGACGTCTCGTAACGGACGATGACCGGGCCGAGCAGCTCCAGCTCCGGCTCCGCCGCCAAGGTGGCCAGACACGGCCGCTCCAAGAGCACCAGCACGTACTGCTGCCACTCGCGGCCGGGGCAAGAGTCCGCGCCCTCGGCCACGGCCAACAACGCCGGCCGCTCCTCCGGGGAAGAGGACGAGAAGGACGGCGGCGTGCCGTTCTACGTGAACCGGACCGGCTTCCCTATAGAGAGCGTCACCTGGGAGAGGATGTGGTCTCACGTGGCCAGAGTGCATCCAGACGGTCAAGAAATGGTGGACAGGATACGAAACGCAGCGCACCTGCCCAAAGTAAGCTGGAGTGTTTAGTGCATTTGTTTACATCGTGATCTTGAGGTTTACCCCCCTTTTTAACACCTTGACCCAAAATTAACAGCCCCTTTCGTGAATTAGGGGCTGTGTTAGAGCAAGGAAGACAGTAAAATCACAGAAATGTCCAGGGCAGGGGGCAGATCAGGGCTAGTTGGTGGGAACCACTGGCACTTTTTGTTTATATTTGTTCATATATTTGCCATAACAGTAAACCACCTCCTTGTTTCTACGCTCATTGTCCATTTCATCAGCTCCACTTACTATATAGGTGCACTTTGTAGTTCTACAGTTACAGACTGTAGTCCATCTGTTTCTCTGATACTTTGTTAGCCCCCTTTTACCCTGTTCTTCAGTGGTCAGGACCCCCATGGACCCTCACAGAGCAGGTACTATTTGGGTGGTGGATCATTCTCAGCACTGCAGTAACACTGACGTGGTAGTCTGTGTTGCGCTGGCGCGAGTGGATCAGACACAGCAGTGCTGCTGGAGTTTTTAAACACCTCAGTGTCACTGCTGGACTGAGAATAGTCCACCAACCAAAAATATCCAGCCAACAGCGTCCTGTGGGCAGCGTCCTGTGACCACTGATGAAGGACTAGAGGATGACCAACACAAACTGTGCAGCAGCAGATGAGCTATCGTCTCTGACTTTACATCTACAAGGTGGACTGACAAGGTGGGAGTGTCTAATAGAGTGGACAGTGAGTGGACACAGTGTTTAAAAGCTCCAGCAGCACTGCTGTGTCTGATCCACTCAGATCAGCACAACACGTCTGTGTTACTGCAGTGCTGAGAATGACCCACCACCCAAATAGTACCTGCTCTGTGAGGGTCCATGGGGGTCCTGACCACTGAAGAACAGGGTAAAAGGGGGCTAACGAAGTATCAGAGAAACAGATGGACTACAGTCTGTAACTGTAGAACTACAAAGTGCACCTATATAGTAAGTGGAGCTGATAAAATGGACAATGAGCGTAGAAACAAGGAGGTGGTCAGAATGTTATGCGTGATCCGTGTAAATTCACCATAACATTAAACCTCGTCCTTGTTTTTACACCGTTTGTCCACTTTATCAGCTCCACTGACCGTATAGTTTCACTCTGTAGTTCTACAGTTACAGACTGTAGTCCATCTGTTGCTCTGCAAACTTTGTTACCCTGTTCTTCAGTGGTCAGGACCCCCACAGAGCAGGTATTATTTGGGTGGTGGACCCTTCCTAGCACTGCAGTGATACCGGTGTGGTGGTGGTGTGTCAGTGTGTGTTGTGCTGGTGTGAGTGGATCAGATACAGCAGTGCTGCTGGACAGTTAGTAGAAGCAAGGAGGTGGTTTGAATGTTACAGCTGATCAGTGTAGAGGTACACATCAACGGTCAGTAAAGCCTCTCACCAGTGACCGACTCTGCAACGGCTCACAACAGTGTACAGCTAATAAGCTCAGCAGCGCAGTGTCAGAATTGAACACGCTTCCATTTAAAGCCTTTGCTATGTGACCCGCTTTCCAAGCCGGGGAGTGAAATGTTGTGGCATCTGCTCATCCCCATGGCCTCTAACAGGACGGTGCGCTGGCTCCCAGCCGTGGATCATTACAAGCCAGGCATGGCTGAGACCTGATGTCATTGAGCAGAGCGAAGCAGGACATGCCTTGATGAATTGGGGAAGATCATGGTTGGGTTTAAGTGTCAGGTCTTCATCAGTAGGGTATGTAGACCGGATGATGTGTATATGGATATTCATTGAGGACAGCTCATGTCATTGGGTTCAGCTGTCTGCATAACATTACTATGAATTAAGGGGAACTCCACCAATTTTACAAATTTACTTAATGATTCAACCGTTTATATGTAAACAAAATCATTGAGTGGTTTGATGTGAAATGTGCCTTTCTAGAGAAATTTAGGGAGTCAGAATCTTTACTAGGAACCAGATGTCACCAAAAAAGACCGATTAGGTGAAAACAGCTGCCGTACAAACCTTTTTTGAACCTATTTGCTTTCCAAAGTGAAGGAAAAATCTGATATAAAAGAGTGGAGACACATGAGTGCAGATGCTTTCAGACAGATGTACTGTATGATAGAATTAAAGGGAAACTCCATCGATTTTGCAAAGTTACTTAATCATTTAATGGTTTAGATGTAAACAAAATCATTGAGTGGTTCGGTGTGAAAAGCGCCTTTCTAGAGAAATTTACTGAGTCAGAATTGTTCACCGTTATAGCACTAGGAACCAGACGTCCGTATGTCTACACTTCAAATATCACCCTTTTATCTGCTCTCCAAAATGGCCAGTGAACTTACACGTGTCTTATTAGGTTTTATAGGTCACGCTGATGATGGTAAAATAGTGCTAAATTCCATACGGTTTTGGGTGTTATTTTTTCCTTACAATGCCCTGCATGTATCTATTTCTTCTTTTCTGTTGTTTGAGTTGGCGGCGTAGCGTCACATGGTCAGCAAAACTTACGTAAGTAACGTTATTCATCTGAGGAGCTGCGATAGATCACAGTTGCACTTTTCTGTCCTGCCCCATAAACTGGCGACCAGAGTAGCAAGTAGTTTGTTGTTGACACCGTCCATTTACATTCGCCCTGGGTTCTTCTGCTTCGGCGCCAGCAAGTCATTTGTGTATGCTGGTTCAAATTGTTATGACGCTACGACATTTTGGAAACAGACCTTTTTGAAGTCCTCCACACACTTTGTCATCTTCCAAAAACAGGTTAGAAAACTGTAAAAATAACCTGTAAACAAAAGCTGCTGCCGGCGTCATATCCGATTCAGCTCCCCCTCAGATTCACGTTCCCTTTGACAAATCAGGTCCTCAGGCGGCGCATTAACTGAACCGATAACGCCAAGCAACACTGGAACTACGGAAAGTGGAACACGGAAGTAACCCTGGAGTAATATTTTATATTAAAATATGTTTTAGGCCAAAACTTTATGACAAAACTATCACAAAACAAGTCTCGGGTATCAAGCCATGCATTCATAACCATTTTGTGTAATAACTTAACGGGATGTAGCTTTTAAAGCCATTAAATTCTTCGAACGTCTGATTCCTAGAACTATCCTGGTGAAGAATTCTGACTCGCATTTCACACCGAACCACTCTGAATGATTTTGTTTACACCTAAACTTGGGCTGAAAGATTCATCGTTTTTATATCGAAATCGCGATTTAAGGCAGTGCAATTTTCAAATCACAAGAGCTGCAATTTTCTTTAATTATAGCCGACGCTCTTAATATACAGTTCTTCAATGTTCCTAAAAAGAGGGTCCTTAAAGACAGTAACGGACAGTCATTCCATATAGAACCATGAACACTCAGACATTTGCATGCATAAAAAGTTCTTTGCCTGATGAAATCATTCTTCAGATTGGAGAACGTGCTGTATGTGGTTCTGCATAGCATCAAAAAGGGTTCTGATGCTGTTACTTTGTTGCTTGTTGATGTCCAGCTTATAACAATAGAAGAACATTTTGGTTCTGTAGAGAACTCTTTTCAAAAAGGTCCTATATAGAACCATATACAACACATTCTCCATCACTCTGAAGAACTATTTTACCATGCAGAGAACCATTTGAGCATGCAAAAGGTTCATTGAGTGTTCATGGTTCTACATAGAACCACTGTCTTTACTAAAGAACCCTTGAAGAACCATCTTTATTAAGTGTGTACTTTAGCAAAAACGTTGCTTTAGGTTTTAAGAGGGGAAACGGAACCTAATAAGAGTTTGTGAACTGCCTGTAGGTGAGTTAGACCAATCAGAGGCAACCAAACCTCCATATGTTGTGACATCACAACCACAGCTTACTGGCAGTTTGACACACTGCGTTCAGGGGTCGAGCCTCAAGACAAACAAGGTGGATGTTCTGGTCTTCTTGGCCAAAAAAAACGGCCTGAATCTCAATTGTATAAAAAAATTGCGATTTAAATTGCGTTCAAAATATTAGTCTGAAAAACCGCAATTAGATATTTTCCACACATCGTTCAGCCCCACTAAACCATTTTGAGATGTACTCGTTGAGCGACCGTGAGTGTAGAAAGTAGCGCTATCATGTTTTCCACTCTGATGACTCCTTGACCCCCAGCATTAACCCAAAAGGAAGACCGGATCTCAGGCTTGCATGGTGAGCATAATTCCCACAGCTTGATAGTCTAATGCAAGTATCTCGGAGGGGATAAGGTGACTCTTAGTCAGTGACTGTATAATCCTCACAGCTCAGACACACAGCGCTCCCTGAAGACGCTGCCAGTGCTAGCAGCTCATCTCTTCAATCAGAGCTCTGTTCACACACCGTCTATTTGTGTGTTATGCTCATGTTGTGTATATGTGTGACCAGGAGACCTTCTTGGTGGGCAGAGTAGCGTAAACCCAAGGCTGCACGTTCCAGTGACCTACATAGGGCTTTTCCTGTATAACCAGCCGATGTTACACAGGTTCACGTGTGCAGTGCACTCATTAAGAAGATTGGGCAAGGCTGATCTGAGAGGGCAAGGCTGGGGGAATGCGGCAGACAGTGCAGGCAGAGAAAAACGGTGCACGTGGTTCTGTTGGCACAGCAGGCAAATCTAGGAATGCAGCAAATGAAAAAAGGGTTCAAACTAGGGCCGGACGATTAATCGAAACCGACATTCAGAACCTCTAACCGATGTAATCTTGTCCATGTCGGTTATTTCGATTTTTTTTAATATTCTGTTAATCCTTTCTCCACTCTGTGTGTTCATGTACTGTCCCCTTAAATACTTACTGCTGCGCATGTATCACGTGGCTCCGCCACGTCCACTCTGCGACGTGGAAGCTGAGGGTACATTCACACAGCATGTAAAAGTGGCCCAAATCCGATCTTTTTCCTCTTATGTGACACAGATGTGTGTCTGTGTGTCAGTGTGAACAGCAAAAAACGCATCGAATCTGACATTTTCAATTCCAATTTGAGACGCTTTCATATGTGGTACTGAAATCTGATACGTATCTGATCTGC